AAAAAACAGTATAAATATTTATCTTAAGCGCTTTCCAATTAATTATTGTGTTTTACTGATGTATCATTGTCAGTACTGCAAGCTATGAGGAGAACAGTGTATGTTTGTAAATTATAGATACCTGGTATGTGTTTCTGAAAGTGTGTGTGTAAATGGTGGATATGACAGTAACAATAATAGTAAATGAAGTTCATATTTATAGATTTTAAATTGTGAACATTATAATTTTCAGTTTAGCATGTGTGTTTAGAAAGAAAATAAAAGATCATAGAAAGTGTCTGCTTTTGAGACAACCTGCATTTTACAGCTTGAAAATATAATCTGAAAGGTGCCTGTGTTCATACTTATTTCATATGCTAACAATTATTGCGCTTTGAATTTAACATTTGGTTGTTATGGTACAGAAATCTCATATTTTGGAGATAAAATTTGATAATTAAATAACATCTCATAATTTGAATGATTTTTATTTTTAGCTCGACTTTTCTATGAAAAGGGGAGCTATCCTACTCGCCCCGGCGTCGGCGTCGGCGTTAGCGTTGGCGTCACACCTTGGTTAAGTTTTTCGTACCACCCCACTTTATTTCAGAAGTATTACAAGTATGGCTTTGAAACTTACCATACTTGTTCACCATCATAACCTCCATCTACAGACAAGAGTACATAACTCTGTCAAGGTTTTTGACAGAATTATGGCCCTTTTTTGACTTAGAAAGTGTATTGAGCTTGGTTAAGTTTTTTGTACCACCTCACTTTATTTCAAAACCATTGGAGGTATTGCTTTGAAACTGACCATACTTGTTTACCATCACGACCTTCATCAACAGACAAGAGGACATAACTCTGTCAAGGTTTTTGACAGAATTATGCCCCTTTTTGACTTAGAAAATACATTGAATATGGGTAAAATCCACTTATTGCCTTAACCCTTTGAGATATTGCTTTGAAACTTTTAATGCTATTTCACATCATTACCCCCATCTGTACGCAAGAGAAGGTAACTCTGTCAAGGATTTGTTTTAAAAATTAAGGCCTTTTATCGACTTAGAATCTTGGTTAAGTTTTTAGTACCAGTCCACTTTTTGACTGAACTGTTTGAGATATTAATTTGAAAGTTGGAATACTTGTTTACAATCATGATTCCCAAACATGTCCAGGAGAAGGTAATTCTGTCAAAGATTTTATTTGAATTATGGCCCTTAACTGTCAATGTTTTGACTTAAACATTTCAAACTTTGCTGCAGTGTTCAAGGGTATCACACAATTCAGTAAAATAATTCTTCACTAAATATCTTAATGCTCATGGCCATTGTTCACTTTAAAAATACAGAGATTCTTGTATTGCCTTTTACTGCAAAAACTTTTTTTATTGGCAAGCAATAAAAAAGTCGAGCGCGCTGTCTTACGGACAGCTCTTGTTTAAAGAAAGGAGTTAATAAAGTAATCATCTTGTCACCTATATCAATAAATCTGATTTGATTTTATGACTATGTAGTTATTAAAGTGTTCATTTGGGTAAATATTATTTTTGGCAATAGTTTTGTTTATGATCTGTTATAGTACATGTAGTACTATATGTTAGTATTTAATGAGACTGTTTTTATAAGTAAATTTATAACAATATTAAAGGGTATAAGGTTATTGTTGGCTAAATATACACTCAAAATTCAAAAAACTGTATATTAATCAGATTGTTTTCATATTCATATTTTGAGAAGTGTCTCTGTTATTAAACACACACATTTATTATATTGGAAAACAGAATAAAACCATTCCACATAAAAAAAATTTTTAACTACATTGTATTGTTCTTAATATTTTTGGTGACATTTTCATGCATGAGCAATTCTCTTGATCATAAATATATTTGCTTCATTCTTTTAGTTATGGTATCTGGAGGGTCTGTTTGGGTGGGTTTTTTTGTCTGTTTTTCACTTCTTTTTTTAAAATTTGACCACAACACGGAAATCCTTTTAACTACAGCTACCCAGCAGATCCTTTAGAGGTTATAGGGTGAAAGGTCATCACTTGGGTCAAGGTCAAACATGTTGATAAGGTTTTGATCAAAATGTATTCAAATAGTTTGCCAATTAAAGATAGCCTTTGACAGCTTTATACCCTATAATGTCTTAGATTTTTAAATATCAAAACTTATAATGTTTGAGCAGATCATTTTCAGATCTAGTGTTGAGGACAGGCCATACTTAAAGGTTTGTGATTGTTGCATTTTTTGTGTATTTCAAGGATTTTGTTGTGTTATAATATTTGGAATATTCAAGTTTACAAATCCATATCTGTTGTTGCATAATGTGTAGAATTCCCCTTTCTTTTGAAAGTTTTACAATAGAAATAAAACAGTCACAATTTATTATGCATTTGTAATTCCATTGTATGTTTAATATTGCATATTTGTTGTTGTTTTCTTATGTTTTCTTTAACATTTACAAAATATAACAACACATTTATAATAAATGTGAATAACAAAATTATTATCAAAAACTTTTTGATATTGTTTACAGATAGGCAATGTGGAAACATTACTATATATATTATTTGCTGAATGTTTAATTAAAATCATACTTATTTTCGAAATATGCTTAAACTTTAAAGCCCCATTATGCACCAGAAATTTGATTATTCTTATAAAGGTATCTTGTTATAGTTTTAAAAAAGTTACTTTTTGCAAACTATTCGGACCACCTTATGCTTCTGTTCCTTTTTGGCATTTAGTACAAGTATAGTGTTTAAGTACTAGTATTGAGTATACTGCTATGTTTACATTTTACTACTTTAATTACAAACAATTTCACATTCATTGCTAATTTCTTCAGGTAATAAGCACCTAGCAGATGCTAAAATCATTATTTAAATGATATAAAACTCACTTTTGCCCTTTCTAAAGAAGGAAAAAGATATTTATTTCTGAGGCCTAGTGTGTCTTTAACTAGGAGGATAATCCTTTGAAATTGCATGTTGCTAAGAACTGTTTATGCTCATTCTGGTGCAATTCACACTTGCATTATATTTGTTGAAGTGGGAAAACAAAATATTCATTTTGACAGGATTCTTTATACATGTATATTGTCTTTAAATACAATTAAATTGAAACATTGCTGTATATTCTTAGAGATAATTTTCATAAGAAAATATATGCTGGTTTTTTTTCCATAATAATTTGAAAATTTATAGTCTTGAAAGAAAAGTATTCAGAAATAAAAGATTTGGGTGCTGACATGTTTTATCTTGTAACTTCTGCTATATAATTCAGTTAAACATTCTGTTACTGAAATATTGGATAAACGATATTTCATTGGTTTCTGATCTATAAACTTTTTTATATTTTTTTTTTAGTATTTTTCCCCATTTTTAAGAGAAAGTAGAGGTATCCGCCAAAATGTGTTGAATATAGCTGTGCGCAGAATTTATGAAAAAACCTTAAAAAAGTTTAAGAATTTGTTGGAGTTTTATATAATGTCATTTGTTAATAAATGTCAACGTTTTATGGAAATAAAAAATACTTGAAATATGTTCTTGTTATCTTGATTTTGTAACTTTATTTCTTGTGGAAAAAGTACATTTAATGTTTACCTTGTGTTGTCAATATCACCTGTGGCTTTACATAAAGAACATTCTATCCTGTTTTCACCTATTGCAGTTTGTGGGAAATACACCCTCAATATAAAGTACTGGTAAAATTGTTATAGTAGTTTTACAATAAGAATTGTACTTGTGGGCCCAGTATTAAACATGTAAATGGGAAAAGTTGCTCTTCCTAATAGCGGTTGTTTATATGATCATTTTAGGCCCTCGCCTTGATTTGCTGTTGTGTGTATGACAAACAAAATGACCTTCAACTTCAACCGAGTCAAATGTTCTAAATTTAGGAAATTCCTGATCTAAAAACAGATATTGGACAGGGACGTGTGTGTGCGTGTGTGTGTGCGTTTGTGTGTGTGTGTGCGTGTGTTTGTTTTTTTATAGGTCTTTGCCAAGCACATCTTGGTATTGAAGCACTGTTTTATTCTTTTAAAAAGATCCTTTCATAAACATTTGCACACCTTATACAGAACTCTTGTGACGTGTTTTGACATAAAGGGACTGATCTTTTTCTTATCAATAATATGTGTGTGTACCATTTGATCTAGGTATGGACCATGACAAGAATTTGTGTGTGTAAAATTTCTGGGTATATCTCTCTACTAGTTTTTGCATAAACATGTATTTCGTTTACCATTTGATCTATCCAATGGCACCGCAATTATCCAGTAACGCAGAAATGGTTTCAAATTAAATATTCTTAGGCGGTTGGTCCTAAGCTTTTAAGCCACATTATGCATCGGAAATGAATATTTTTTCTTTAGGAGATGGAGCAGATTTGGATTTTAATGATATTGTAATAATGCATTTAAAGTGTTTAAAGCTATATTTTATGAAATAATTTTAAAAGAATAATTTACAATAAAATTATATAATTTCCAAAATCTTATGGTCAATTCTTATAAGATTTATAACATACAATGTTTCTGTTATTTAACAAAATAAAAATTGTAAGAAGGTCTTATTTGTTAACGTTTCGTCGTTGAGCTTGATTTTAAGTAGAAGTCAAAAATTGGGGTCATGTTCATTTCCCCCTCATACGACACCATGCAGTACTGGTTAGTTCAACATGCATTCTCCTTATTTTTGTCCTGTCAATAAAAGGTAGAATTGTTATAAAGTAATTAAAATTTTATCCGTTGATAATCAAGTTCAGTACCCAACACCCGTTTACTTTGTATATAATCTCGTGAGTTAGGGTACAGAAGTTAGACTCCGGCATGATCAAACAATTTATAGGTTTTCATCACAATTAATCCAGATGAAACTGTTAAAACAAATTTAAATGTCATTTTTATCTTTCTAAAATAACACCTATATTTAATTTTATAATTACTTCCTCGTTTGATTTAATACTGTCAAAGGATCGTCGATCATATTGCACGCTGGACATTTAGTTTGCTCATGGCAAATGCGGGAAAATTTTATTTCGTGTGAACTTGTATTGTACATTTATAATAGCTGAAAATAAAGTATTAAGGAAAAGTATAAAGGTAAGGTGCAGCGCATTTTATTTATCTATTTTTATTCATTTTAGGTTTTAAACTAACTATATAATTGACATTACTATATAATAAAACAATGTGTGAAAAAATATTTTATGATTAAAATCACTTTTATCAATAAATAGAATACAGTTCAATCGTTTTAAGTTTAAAAAAACATTCTCTTCAGATTTAAATTAAATTTTACGTTTACATATAAGCATTTTTAATAAATTATATAAACAATCATTGGTATTTGTAGAATTATTCTGGTGATACGATGTCATCTACATATGGAGTACATTTCCGGACAATGTTCGTCGTTATTGTCGGAATCTCTGTGCTTATTTTACTCTATCTTGGAAATATGTTCCCAGATATTTTCTTCGGCGTAAATATTGTGGACAGAAATAATATGTTAAAACATATGGTAGACGGAATGCAGACGAAAAATTCAACTTTAGATAATGAAGTTCTTTTGAAAAAATTTTCAACACAAAGTGATGTAAATGACGAGACAGATTATAAAACGACTACTGGTGATCCACTCAAAACAGAGAATGGATTTAATAAACTATATTCACCGTATATAGATACAAAGTTCCATCTAAATTCGACAGGGGTGATAAAAAATAAAACGATTTTATGGTGGAATCCACCAGGCTGGTTGAAAAATTGGTTTGCTGATTTTAATATGGACCAGTGCGATTATAAAAATTGTCGGGTCTCTTTCAATCAAAATCACTTTCAACAAAGTGACGCTGTCGTTTATTCTATTGTTGATTCAGGTATGGGTCGTAAACCACCGATTCCCGCAAATCTACGGAATCCCGATCAAGCTTGGATATTTTTTACTCTGGAGTCACCAGTGCACGTGAAAATGGAGAAAAGAGAGTTTATGAACCCTTATTGGCAGAATGCATTTAATTGGTCCTGGACTTACAGGACGGACGCGGATATTTTTCATCCGTATGGAACACTTATTACCAAAGATATCGTGCCAAAGAAAAATTATTCTGACATATTCCGGAGAAAAAATAAATCTGCGGCATGGGCCGTCAGTCATTGCCGGACATACTCTGAAAGAGAAAAGTACACACGATTGTTAAACAAGTATGTAAATGTTGACATATTTGGCAAATGTGGACTTAAACCACCGGTGAATTTGAAAGAATACATTAACAATAATTACAAATTTTATCTTGGTTTTGAGAATTCACTTTGTGACGAGTACATGACAGAAAAGTTTTTTAATTATTACAAAATGGATATTATCACAATTGTTAGAGGGAGGGGTGACTATAACAAATACTTGCCAAAAGGTTCTTTTATAAACACGGCAGATTTCTCATCAGTTAAAGCTTTAGCAATGTTTTTACACAAGTTAGGGTCAAATGAAGAGGAATATATAAATTATCTAAAGATTAAGGACAAGTATAAAGTGTTTGAGAGAGATTTCATGTACAGAGATGCAACTTGCAATATATGTGAAAAACTGAACAATTTAGAACAAAATAGAAAAACTTACGAAGATATAAATAAATGGTTAGGATTGTGTTATGCAGCTAACGATTTGAAAGAAACAAAATAAAACTATTAAGAAATTTCCTATACAGTATTTGTTGTTTGTATCTACACCGATATCCATCAAGGAAAAGCAGGCCTCTGCGCATGTTGGGTTGTTCCTAAAGTAGATGGTTGGTTGGCTGGCTGGCTAGCTAGCTAGTTAAAATGAATTAGTACAGTGTGGCCACTCAGTGATCCAGAGTGAAAAACTACCAACACCACCACCAAATTCAAATAGCATTGCAAGCAGTAATATATATTTACATCCTCTAAGCACTTGTCTAAAACAAGATGTTTGTAAAACATGTATGCCCCAAATCGACAGCCAAATTAGTCATGTGGTCAAGTTATTGTAACTGACATTTGACCTAGTGCAAAAAATTAATAGGGGTTATCTACTGGTCATGACTAGTCACTACAGATCATTTTGACCGTAAAGGTTGTGTGCAGCAATTTTATGACAAAGTAATTGCAAACCTTACCAAATACATGCATATGCATAAATTTTATGAACCATGTAGGCCTCCTTAATGACAGCCATTTTGTTATATTACATTAGACCTTGATATGTGTATACCAAAAGCATGTTTAGTTTAATAAAAATATCAACCAAGGTAATTTGAGTTATTGGTCCGAAAAGGTCAATGTGACTGACCGTTGACCCTTAATTCAATAGGGACTATCTACTGGCTAAGACCAATGCACATGTAAAGTTTGAAAATAAAGGGCCCATGGGTTGTTGAGATATGGATCATATACCGTTGTTACCTACAAGGTCAATGTGATCGTGACCTCTGACCCTGAAAATCCACTGAGGTCATCTTCTGACCAAAAGCAATGCATTTGTTTGTTTTATTTTACGCCTTTTTCCAACAGTATTTCAGTCAATTGTGAAGTTTGAAGGTCCATTGGTTGTTGAGTTATCGATAGGCATACAAAGCTAATGTGACCTTAACCTTTGACCCCCTGGCCCGAAAATCAATAGGGGCTATCTACTGGCCAAGACCAATGCACCTATATAGTTTGATGGCCCATAGCTAGGTTTTCAAGTTATTGATCGCAAACCGTTTAAACCTTCCTTGACCCCAAAATCAAAAGAAGTCATCATCTTGCCAAGACCAATGCACCTGTTTAGTTTGAAGGTCTAAGTACCATGAGTTGAGGGTTTTTTTTATTGGAAACCATTTTGGCATTCAAGGTCAATATGCCCTTGTACCTCAAAAACAATAGGGCCATCTTCTGGTCATGACCAATCCCCAAACAAAGTTTGAAGTTCCTAGGCCTTAGCGTTCTTTATTTATTGACGAAAAACCATTTGGTCTACGGACCGACCGACAGAGGCAAAGCAATATACCAAAATTCTTTGAAGGTGGGGCAGAACTAATCGATAGAGCTATAGAATACCCAGCTTTTAAAAGCCACTCAATCACACGATCTAATGTCTGGGCATTTATGGTTGTAAATTCACAGAACACTTGTGCCAAGTCTATATAAATGTCAAGCGACATTCTTGGACGGGGTTCAATTTTAATCCGAGAAAGCTCCAACCTACGTTCTGCGCATGATTTAAATGCAAGTAACATTTCTACCAAATTCTTTTTATTTTCTCCTATCGGTTAAAAATTCCGGGCGGACACGAGATTTTAAAATTCATACATAATTTTGAGTGTGCCCTTGACCCGAGGAAGGTCAAACCTGCGCTATACACACAACTCATTATGCTTATACATCTCTGCCACCTTGCCAAGTCGTTTCGAATTCCTTCCATTTGGTTCAAGTTACACAGCAGACACACAATTGCTAATAGCCGGACCAACGACCAGGTGCATCTTTTATAAATACAATACGCACAGTTTGTTCGTATGTATATTATCGAGCTAACACAGTGTTTTTCAGGGGCTCATTAAAACAACAAGTCCAAACATTTGCACAGCAAATATTCACATGTTCTTGATAATCCCATTAAAATTAAACCAGCCAAGTACCTAGTATGTGCACGTACCTTAGCACTAAAGGATGGGAGGGGTGTACAAGTGAGTGCAGTTAAAGGATTAACAAACATTTTCAGTGATTTTTACTTTCTTTTTTTAATTCTTTTTTTTTACAGTTTTTACATCACATATATCATTTTTCACATGTAAAATATATGTTCAACAAAGTAAAGAGATAGAGAAAGAAAAATAAACTACACACTACCTGAAATGATAGAGCTGGCTCATAAAATTACAAAAATAACATCTCTTCAATGTCATGTAAGTCTATTTTATACACCATACTTTAGCCTTATAATGCTAAATATCTTTAATTGAATTTCCCATCCTACAACCTGAACAAAATTTCATACAATTTTACAGAAAATTTCAAAATATATACTGATTCAAAATGAACAGGGCAGACTACTATCAGACAGCTGATCTTGGTCTGCACTGGTCACGTGAGTATTCAGCTGCCATGAGCAGGCGAAATAATAACCAAATTATAAACTTAAACACAGATTCATAGTTACAGCTTGGATTTTCGCAAAGATATTTTAACTTTATTGACAAAATGAATAGTCTACTTTCAAGACTGTAGGTACATTAAATGCAGAAAAAAATTTATACCCCATTAACACATTAATAGATGACATAGTTTGTATTTGCATTCCCAAAATAACATTGTTTGTAATTTTATGAGCCATTTACATACATTACAATATATTACAATATCACATGTCCCCAATATGTATCAATTTAACTTCATTTACCAATTTTAAAGTAAATTTAACATGTTTACTAAAAAAATCATGATGTAACCCACAGCATAAGAATTTGGAAAAAGTAAATACTTTTTTCTTATTCCTGACAAATTTCTTAACATGAGCACTAATTCACAAATTTCTCAAAGTATTATGTGTATTTTGCAAGATAACACATGATACAGATTTGCTTATATTACAGTAATACATTAAATGCATAATACAAACCATAAACAATACCGCAATAGGTAAGAAAGCTAGTTCCTTACATCCTAAGGTATGTGATGCTAAACTGATTTTGTACAAAGTACATATTTACCTTCAATAAGATTTTTTCCCAATCCAATCCAAACCAAAATATCAATCAAATACAATATTACCACCCCCCCCACACACACACACAGTAAAATCGTGGTTCATCTTCATTGAGCTCACTAAGTACTCATTATCATTCTATATGATACGCTGTGATATATAAAACTTCAATATTTAAAAATCTGTCTTTACAAAAATATACAACAAATGTAGAACTTTATTAGCCAAAAAGACACACAGATTGATATTTAACAGTACTTTAGATAACGTTATGCTCTCTTTTGAGAAGCAGTAGAATTTAGATAAAATTCATTTCTGAAATAAATAGTTTTTCTTAAGTTAAATAAAACATGCAAATGCTATTCATAATTCATTTTCACTAAATTAAACTTTAAACAAAATTTAACAAAAAGGTCAAATTTGGCCTTTATCATTCACTTGGGAAAATAGAAAAGAAAATCAAAACGTGAAAATGGGACTCTCTTAATTTTGGAGAAGAAAATTTTAAGCTTTTTTCTTTTCATAAATGTCCGTGTAATTGAAATAGAGGACCTTTTGGCAATGCTTTATGCAAAATATTTTAAAGTTCTAGACCCTGCAGATTCTCAAAAACTGTTGTGGGTTTTTTTTTCAACTCCTGTGACTAAGAAGGAACCTTTTTTTTACAACTTTGTAAAGGTTCATCAAAGAATAATACCTAAGTAAGTATTTCAAATTGGTTCGAGTGACATATAAAAATTTGGATAACAATCATCTGATTATAAAAGCTCAACTCTGCACAATTAATGCTCAGGGAAGCAAAACCTAGCTGAATATATCCTTATTTAAAACAAAATATATAGATGTAGCATTTTAACAAATCATATTGAAAATGTTAACATGGTCATTAAGTTGTAAACCAAATAAATATAGCTATCAAAAAGAACAGTTTAATTTCATCGTGACTTGTACGATTGAGAACTACATCTATTCTTAGTATTTACAAACACTTACAACCAATTAACAGAACAACACATGCAAAATTTATGAATACATATAACATGTTAAGCAATGTAGAATCTACATCTTTCTTCAACAACAAAGAGTATAGCATTGTCAATGATGTATATACATATGTTTTAATACAGTTAACAAAAGTTTGAAAGACTTGTGGTAATATTTGTAGACATTGGAATCCAATCATCTCCTGCTGCACCAAAACTCACCATCACAAAAAACCCTGAGGGTAATCTGTGACGGGAAGTTTCAGTGAATGGTGATGTCTGTGAACTAGCCGTTTCTAGTAGTTGGTGGTCATCTTCACATCTTGTAGCCGCTGGAAACTTGAATCGAAGTAGAAATACCAGACTGGACAGCAAAATAATTCTGAAATGAAAGCAACTGCAAAGACTGCCAAGACATGGCATCATGGGTAAGAAATGGGACAGGACAGACGATGGCATTTTCACCTATTCCCTTGGTAATAATTATGCTTCGGTGACTGAAGATTCCCATTAACAGCCTTCAGAGTTGTGACAGTTGAAGTGAAGAACTCCTGCCATTTGCAGACGCAATCCTGTAGCAATAATTAATCCTGACGAAGTCCGTTCATCATATATTTAAGCAAGTCCATCTTGCATGATAATGCAATCTTCCAAAGCAGCAACATTTAGAAAATATTTGGAGAAATAATAGATATTCATTCCAGGAACTCAAATAGCAACCAATTTCTTTAAACATAAAATTTGTCCGTCGCGTGATGCTACAAATGCATAGGATTTCACATACGGGACAGAAAGCTTGCTTGTGATATTAACCATTTGACAACTTTAACTAAATCAGCAAACTACCAGCATCTTCTTCTTGAACCCTCATCTCTAGTTGACCTTTTTACTTTGACCAGATAGCTTATGAGCAAATGAATGGTAAAACAAACCTATCTTCCTAATTCAGCTAATGGCTAGTGCAAATCCTCTTCCGTCATCGATGTAGGTGCCCGTATTTGATGTAACTCTTTTATGACTTTTATAAAAATGTCAACAAAGGATGGTTGATTACATGACAGCTTTAAAGAATAGTCTTTAGATAAATAGCAAGCTTTAGACTCATTCAAAACTTTTCCCTCAAACTTTCTTCTTTTTACCATAAGATTACTTTTTCTTCAAGATTTCAAATGTCAATCTTAAATTTATTTTTAACCCATTTTCTTCCTCTGATGTGGTCATTATTAAAGCTGAGCATCTGGATTATTAATAATTTTAATTTTATTGTCTTATAATTTTTTATCTTCTTACAGATTAAAAATTGATTCTTGAACTTGACCATGTGCTTCACCAATTATTAACCATCAAGGACCAACCCGACATCTTATGTAGAACATTATAGAACTTTAACCTAAATGGGTGACAGAAGAATTTTGTACAACTTGGATTCCGCGTGCTTATATGCTTGGCTTGTCTACGCTGGACTTCACCATCTCACCTCTGGACGTGACCTTGCAACTCGCACCTCCTGTGTATCAGAACTCCCCTTATTTTAACCTTACCAGACTAAATGACAATAACAGGACGATAGGACAAGCTTTTACTGCATCTTCCTAGCCTTAAACCATATACAATCGGACTCTTAACTTTTTTTCTTACTCTCCTACTTCGGGCAAACAAGACACGCTACCATGCATTTACGACGGGTAAACTAGCTTTACAGTCAATTTTACTTTCATCCCCAGATAAGGTGACATTCATCTCTTTGAGAAATTCCAGGCATTCAGAGCGATCAGAGAAGCCAATTTCCGGCGCAATGAATTCTACTGGTAAAGTTGGACGATATCTTTATGAATAGGAATAGGTGAAGCATGTGGATGGGGGCCAACAAACAGCCAATGAAAAAGAAGAGAAACAAAACATGTTAGCATTCATAGTATCATAACAACAAACAACAACAACAAAACATATCACAACTTTACAAAACGAAACAAAACCTTAACAAAATATTACCAAAGTGTTGTCATCTACTTACCAAAGACATAGTTACGATTTACTTACCAAAATCGCATTTAAATCAATTCATTTAAATATTTATCTAAAATACATTTAACTAGTTATAATTATCCTCATTACTACTCACCCAAATAATCATTATATAACTGAATTACCTTGATAAATTCATAAACCAATAATTGGTTTAAGAAACCTTAAATTGACCTTCAAAATTTTTTTTTTTTAAATTTATATATATATCGTAATCAATTTTTTATTAAGTGGCTGAAAAGAAAAATGGTCACATTATGGTTATTAAATAAACATTTTTTTTTTCTGATAAAACCCACCTTTCAAAAAATGTAAGAAAGAAAACAAAATAGAGACATCTCATTTCTGTTTCAAGTCATATCCCTACAATAAGAAAGAAATATTTGATTATCATTAATTCTGCACAGCCATCTTACTTTAGAATCTGAAAAATTAAAGTCATTAAAAAATAAAGTTATAATTTACATCAAAGTAAATCCCAATATTGGATACATACGCTTTAATAGCAGCCTTCAGAGCTGACTTTCTAACCCGCCCTACAAACTTGTCCATTAGATATCCAGCCATTTTTGGGGCATTAAGATATAGCTGGAAAAACTTATGGTAATTACTTAAAGCCCAGGCTGATCTTACATGGAGGGCATGTTTGATACACTCATCCTTTCTATCCTCCTTACTGAGATCTGTCAATGCAGTATTTAAATCTGAATTAATAGTTAAGGAGAAACTACAGTGAATTACGATATTACTATTTCTTTTGGTTTTCACTTATCAATAACACTAACATCCATACTGTAAAGGTCATATGGCCACTCTCAAGCTTTATTAAAGATGCCTCAGATGCAGGAAAGACACATGATTAGAACCACCAACATTCTGTAAGCTACCTGGATAGATTCTTCACCTGAACGAACCCAGTCGCTGGCAGGTTTCGAACCAATAATGGCGAGGAACAAGTGGTTTGGAGTCAATTATCTTAACCACTCAGCCACCAATGTGTAACATATAATGTGTCATGTTTTATTGCAAAAAACATACATGCATTGCAAAGATGTTTCAGAGAGAGAAAAACAAAGCACAACTTTGCACAAAAGCTAAATCACAACTGTCCTGTCTTTGTCAAAATGAGACCGTTTTCACATATCTACATTGCTGATCGATAATAATTCAAAGTTTAAAAAAAGTTCCATTTGGTAAACCGACATATATTTGATTGTAAAGGATACCACCTAAATTGCTAGTGTAGATATAGTAAAGTATTCTGTAAGCTGTGAATTCCTGTCTGTTACCACTATGTCCTTGTTTATACAAGTTCTTCAGCTGTGTCTGGCATTGATTGTATTCCTCATGATCCCCCTGTAAAATATCATATTACATAATTTCATCTACATTTTTGTATCATAAGTATGTTACTTCACAACACAATGAATAAGCCTACATTCTTTTTGTGATGTTCAAGGGAATTTAAATAAATGATCAAAATCTACAATTAAACTTACCCTTTATTTAGGTTTAATCATGTTATTAATTAAAGAGAATGGGAGAAAAAAAAACTCATTGCTTATAATTAAATATGTTACAAGTAGGAAATGTAGAACTGAACACTAACCTTCTCCATAGCTATTCTAGCATGGGTTTCATAAACTTCCACCGTGAATTCATCCTGTATACCTTGAACCTGAAAAAAATTATTACATGAACTTATAAATAAAATATTACAGAGTATAAATCATTAAAATAGTTCATACAACTACAAATAATTGTGAAACAAAAACCAAATTTTTTAGGAAATGTTTCAGTCCAACTAAAATGAATAGTAGTCTTAACTATTTCAACTATTTAAAGGATATTAAGTTATGTCAAATATTTTAATGAAATCTTCAAACAATAAAGATATATTGTCTCCATAATCTTCTGGTTGATACTCAAAAGAGATGTAACATAGAATGTCATTTGATTTAACAAACATGAATATAGACAAAAAAAAAACAGAATAAAATGTTCCAGAACAAAATATCATACTATTATTTTACGAAGAGTTTTAAGTTTAGAAATAATTTCTTGCAGAGACAATTTGCTCTTTAAGACAAATATTTTGGAAGTATTGTTTATTAAAATGCACACAATGCTTTTGTAAACTAAAGGCTGCAGATATATAAAGCTTAACTATTAAATGTTAAATGTTCACTTACTGTAAGATCTTGTCTTATAGTTTTCATCTGTTCACAAGCATATCTGTAATCCATTTTGGAGGTCCAGTCATTTTTCACCATTACCAATGATTTCTTTAGCACTTCTTTAGGACGGATTTTGCTTGCATCAGGAGGCTATTAATACAAATGATCATCACTATAATAATGAGATTCCTGACAAAATATTCTAAAAATTTGCTTCCATCACATTAGCAGTTCAAACGGAACAAATTAGGGAGGGGGTGGGGAGAATGACCCTATTTTATGATGGGTGTTATGAATGTCATGAAATATGTTAGAAGTGGAAATACATAAAACAATATTATGAGCTAGCTTTCATGTGTGGCCTTGTAAATACTCAGTAACAAAAAAAAGAGAATATCATCTTTAACTCATGAGTAATTATGTAATCTACATGAAAGTATAAATGAATGTTTTATATACATACCCCTGACATTCTTAGATACTGTTTTTCAAGATCCTGACAGGTTCCTATGATATGATAACTGCTCCAGTCCATGTTGCTATCCTCATCCGACTATCAACAGAAAATAATATAAAATTTAACCACATAAGTTACATGCTTTTTACAACTAACATAGTAGTATAGTACACACACAATGTTTTGATACCAGACTGTTTTATGCACTTTGTAAAGAAAATTTCATGACCTATCAACCATCTTAAGAAAATAATTATATTTCCAAGGTGCCTATGACATTTGTCAGTCTTGCCCAAGAATTTTATAGCAAACTTATTTTTTGAACATGTTTTCATTAAATCATACCATTTATTTATAACTCCATTTTAAGACATCCTTCTATTATCTTTATTTAACATTATCTTTAACAAACTCATACTAATTAAAGAATAACCTGATGTATAAGCTTCAATACTGAAAAATAAACTGCAAAATAAACTTACATCATTAGTGGCATTAATTGAAGACACGGCAAAGTTAAGCCTTTGTTTAGGATGAGACTTGTCCAACTGATTGCCAAATCTCTTTGCTCTTGACATCAACTTCTCTGAAGATTCCTCACTGTTCTCAACTTTAAATTGGGGGAATCTACAAAAACATATTGTATCAAAATGATAAATCTAGTTAAAACCAACACATGCACCTTTTTATTACATCTTGTTACTTTTTGAATACAATTCCATTATACATGGTGCTCGTAAAATTGCATATTTATTAAGTATGTCAGAGAAACTTAGCTTACTTTTTTCCTTTAGGTGACTTGTTTTTCAAGTTCTGTTGTTTGTTTTGTTTCTTCTTCCCTAGGTTTTCGTTGGCTGGGTCTCCTGAACCTCTTCTAGTTTTGCTAGGAGTACCCCTACCTCTACCTCTGTCTTCCTTTCCACGACCCCTTCCACGACCAAACTTGCCTCGTCCTTTTGGATGCTCTACATTAAGGGAGTAGTAATCTCTTGAGGAACGACTTGATAATGAGCTACTTCGGCTACGGCTTCTACTGTGTGACCTTGACCTCCTACGCCTGTGTCTACCAGGTGAAGACATTCTTCTACGTCTACGTTCAGGTGACCTTGACCTAGATCTTGAGTATGACCTAGAAGGGGATCTGCAAGAAGCACAAAACTGTAATTATTATAAGAAAACCTTTTTTCATGCCTACATTTCTTAAATAAACATTGCAGTACTTTTATTAACTATTTGAATTTTGGAAAATTCTTCACTCACCTAGAGTAAGATCTTGATCTAGATCTGGACCTAGAGAATGACCTTCCCCTTGAAAATGATCTTCGACCTCTGCCTCTCTGGCCTGGAGTTCCTCGCCCACGCTGAAAGCGGCCACGTTGTCCACGCATGTTCATTTGACGAGCATTAAAACCTCTTCCAGACCCTGCTGTAGAAATACACATGATCATTAGCATGAATCATTCTACATAGACAAAGATGAAGTTTCAAATATTGAACAGAGCTTAAACTGCAATCCACATGTCGCAGTATGTGAAATATTAATTAGTAAGTATTCAGTAAATGCACATTTAGGGCCAGCAAAATCTGACATTGACTTACTAATCCGTTTTATCTAAAACCTTTTTTTACTTGTCCATATGATATTTATGAAGTAAACTCTGTAGAAATTTTCCTTGTCCTTACAGGCTGTGGGTTAATTTGGGAATACTGACAACCTCTGTTACATTGTATGACTAAATTTAACTCTCAAACTTTATCCATAAATATATCAATATTCAATAACACCGTGTTCCTCCAATTTCTCTTTAAAAGAAAATGATTACAGGGTCATTAAATTTACTAAATTTACTTAATCTGTTAATGTGAAAACATCCAAATAATCAGATACTACTATAGGCGTTTGATAGAATCTGATTTGACTGTTTACCTTGTGTCATTCCCATATCAGGGGATTTAGTTGCACTGCTTGTTGGCTGGGGATCCCATCTACTTCTTTTTGTTTTCGGTGTACCTCTATCCTGTACCATGCTGCTATTTGGTGTACTGAAAATGCAATATTACACATTAAAATACACTTTTTATTAGCAATTCAATTCTTAAATAAACATTTTAGTGTGTGTGTGTTTTTAAGAGTAAAATTACTATCATTGTTTTCTTTTTAGTTGTATATAGATCTAATTATCTATACAATCAGTCATATTCAATGAAATATTCTCATATTCTCATGATATTGACAGTATAAAAGTCCATCATGGACAGATTTCTTGTCATAGAAACTGGAATACATTTTGAGCTTTCATGAGCCATTTTCTACTATAAGCACAGTCATTACAACAATACATTTATGTATTATTAATCTTACAATGGAAGGGGTTCTACATCCCAGTTAGTTGTAAAAGCTTTTCCAGAAGTGAATGCATCTGTGAGTTTCTCCTTTAAGATAGCTTCCATACGATCCTTGTCTGGGTCATCTCTAACACTTGAAAATGCCTTCTGTACCCAGTTCCTGAAAATTATGTAAAATCTTAAAATTTCAGATAAATCTTTTTTTTTCTTCATTTTTTTATCTCAATTTCTACCTAAATCCAAGAGATTTCAATTTCAAAAGGGAAATACTTTTGTAATATATTTTGTGAAGAATGACATATGCCAAATAATTTTACCTTGTTTCTTTAACTTTTTATAGTTTTTTTGCCATGGTTAACAAAAAGAAGTACTGGCTATGTTCAGGGTAAATTGATTGCCATACTTTAATTAACAGATGTTAAATTACTTTTACTTAGTCATACACACCTGGCAGTATCTGGCATCATAAAAATTCTTAAATAAACATCAGAGACGCATCACTATAAAACCAACATAATGGGTTTTCAACCAGCATGAATCCAGACAAGCCTGCGCATCTGCACAGTCTGATCAGGATCCATGTTGTTCGCTTACAAACCCTATAACAAGTAGAGAAGCTGATAGCGAACAGAATGGATCCTGATCAGACTGCGCGGATGCGCAGGCTAGTCTGGATCCATGCTGGTCGCAAACACACTGTTGGTTTTGTTGTGACGCGGCTCATTTATAATTTTACTCACTTGAGAGCTGGTGGCCATTCTCCAGCTGCTTTTTCTGCCAAATCACCCTCTTTCTTACTAAAATCAGAGAGAAATGGGATAATTTATAAAAATAATCTTAGGGAAGGATATAAGTTTTATGCCTAACACACAAATTTTTCCAACACATTTCACATAATTTGAACAAAATGAAGTTGTAATAAAGGAAATGTTTTCAATTCTTATGTTATAAATAGAATCATTTTACTTCATACAACTGTCTCTTATTGTCTCAACTGTAATTGAAATAAAAAACTTATCCTGTTTTGTTATGTACAGCCAACTACGCTTATAACGAACTCAATGGGACATTTAAGCATTGTTCGATATATCCCAAGTTTGTTAAAAGCAAAGTAGCAACACTTTGCCGACTTGTTAGGGTGGGCAAATTTGTTGTGAAAAAGCCATATCTGTCATTGGTGTAATCAATATTTTACGGCAGCGGTAATTTAATGTGGGGCATTTTATTGAACAATATATTATGTACATGTATTTAGACATTGCTGATCATTAGGTCTACAAATTTAATCTAAAACTTACTTTGTTTGGTCATTTGACTGTTCATTGTTCTCAGGTTGTTTATTTTGTGGCATGTTTTGCACAGCAGGCTGGTTTGGCATGTTATTTGGAAACCGAGGTCGTGGACCTGAAGGACTGTAGAACCTCTGCTTATTCTCAAAGTTCGGTGGTGGACCTTGATTGTTGAAATTTCCTCCATTTTGCTGCATTTTATTTCTTTTTGGTATGCTGAATCTTATTCCTCCAGCACCAGGGTGCTGACCTGTAAGTGGTTATCAATTTATCATACTTAAAATATCCTTCAGTAGATGTTTTAAACAAATACATCAAATAAGATTGCTAGAAAATAATCTAATAATGGTGACCATAGGACAACTTTCCTTACAAAGACATGATTAGTCAAATGACAAGATGTTTACAACTCACCCATATTATTTCCATGCTGAAATCTTGGCCTAGAGTTCATGAACCTTGGATTAAATCCCCTTGGATCCTGTCCATCATGTCCTGGATGTGGTCCTTGAAAATGAGCTGGTCTACCAAATCCTCCTGACTGCAATATTAAAAACAAAACCTGAATACTAGTATTTTTAAGAGTTCCAATTTATTTTTTAACATGTTGAGATTTTAAGAAGCAAATTAAATATTTACATGCAATTCTAGAAACATTCATAGATCAAAACATCTCCCTGTAATTACAATATACATGTGTCTTCAGACATTGAAATATGCCACTATTAATAGTTATATCAGCTGGCAGATTGACAATATTTATATAGCAGGGAATTCCCCAGGCGCTTTTAGCGCATCGGCACCGATGCGCTAAAATTTCAGAACAAGAAATCCAGATGCGCTTAAAAGTTTCATAGCGCTTTAAAAAATGACCGATATCCCTTTCTTTTGTGTCTATAAGTTAACCCCAAATTAGCCCCATTTAGCCAAATAAACAAGCCAATATACATGTCCTGTGTAGATAATTACCCGAGGCGTATACAAACCCGATACACTGATTGCCTTTCGACTGTGTGACGTCACAGACACCTGTCATCGATGTCTGCAGACGACTGTTGGTGCACTTTCAGGTGTTGTCAATTACCGTGTATTGAGATGGGTGCAATTAAACGCGGCATGTGTGATATTTACATGTTTCAGGTAGGTGTAATAACTTTTATTGCTTTGATAATATAATTGGCATTAATTGACATGCGATATAACAGTTTGATATTTAGGTTCTTTGTCTTAATATAAGTGTAATGTTCAATTTCATCTTTCACTTTCTTATGATCGTTACGTCTAAGCAGTACTGTAGTATTAAGATTTCAAAAAAATAATATGTCTAACACGAATAAGGGAAGCCTAGTTCACTATCAATTTTAAGAGGTTTTTTTGTGAGCAATGTCGTTGAAACTGTCTCAGGATCATTTTGCTTTTTTTTTACTCTTGAATTAAACTGCATAGATATTCAGAAATAAATTTGGTTGATGGCTACTTTAACATTGAAAATATTTACGACTGTTGATTATCAACTTGCAAATGATTGAAAACAACAACAAAAACTTTACACCAACAATCCCACTTAGTGACAGCCAATTGGTCATTTTCTTTTTTAATTAAAAAAATATCTTGTAATCTGTTTCTGTTCATTGAATCCCCAAAATGAAAAAAATATTAACTTTGCAGGCCCTCTTTATTCGAGCCTGTTCATGGACAGCTTTGTGAAGTGCAATCTACTGTCCTACCCCTTAGCATTGGTTTGTCAGGACATACAGGAGCTGGCCTGCAGGCACTTTGGTGTAGATATGGAGCAGTGCCGCAGCCACTGGCACCAGGTACGTGCCAGTCTAAAGGGGACTGATCAGTCAGCCGACCAGACCATGACCTGGATTACTGGCAACCTTTCTACCAGTCATCCAGCTCTTTACAGAATTGCTGCTGTGGGTCTCCTCCTCCCAACCTCTACTGCAGGTAAGCATTATTAAATTCATTCATTCTTGAACATTAATGAAATTCCAATGACAGTTGCAGATGTATAACACTTTGCTAGATGTTTTTCAACATTTCAAATATAAATTTTTTTACTTAGTTAAGTTTAAACAGGCTGGAAGTTTTAAATTTTCAAATATTCACATCAAACAAACAATATAAATATAAGACATGAGGTTAACATAAATGATTACTTTCATTTATTAATTTCAGATTTTGAGCGAGGATTCAGCTGCCTGAAGAGAGTTAAGACTGAAAACAGGAATTGTCTCTCTGTTAAAGTTCTAAACTATCTTCTTGCCGTCTCCCTGTAAGGACCCCCATTAGAATCTTTCAACTTTGAGAAGGCAGTCAAGGCATGGAAGGACAACAAACTAGAAGACAGGCCCTCTTTTAATGATGTTATTGAAGAAAAAAACAACTGAAATATACTCATTTAAATAGGACACACACATACATATAAATGTTGATCACATTTTGTGAACTTGTGTTTATATATAATTGTTTATTTATTTGAATTGTTGGAAATGTAAAAAGTAAATAATAAAAATTAAGAAAATGTTTATCAAGTGAAAAGCTTTCATTATTTGTTTTAAAACAGCCCACAGCAGTATCTTGACACCTTAAATGGCAAAAATTTTCGACACGCGGTATGGGGGTCAAGACCCCCTCCCGCACCCACCCCCGTCTTATTAAAAAATTGTAGCGCTTAAAAAAAATCCTGGGGAATTCCCTGATATAGTTGTTATTGACAGCAGAATTAGTTTTTCAAACATATATAATAATGAAAACCATATAACAAGGAACACTTACCCACATGCCAGGTGGACCGTTGTTTTGCTGCATCCCACCAAAAAACCTAATGCAATATAAATTCAAGATATATTTTTTCGTTTCATTGTTATGAATATCTTACAGTTTTTTTTGTTGTTTTCTTTTAAGTAAAATGTAAATGTTTAAACTAAATTATAACTACTGTGTTTCATTTCCATAAAAGTTAAACCTCAATAAAATCGAACAGAGGCCATAACATAATAATAATAAATCTCAAATCCTCTACAGAATAATAAAAGTGTTATTTACTGGTATGTAATCATTTTCAAGTTGTTATTGCGTAGAAACCAAGCCATACAAATTCCAACAAAATAATAATCCTGTTTGTCCAAAATAAAATATATAAAGTACACATACGGTGGTTGATTGTGCATGTTCTGGTTCTGCTTAAAGTTGTTATATTGCTGATAGTACATTTCTTGTGGAGACATTTCTGGCCTGGGTGGCATTCCTCCACCATTTAAGAAGTTACCTCCACCACCATTCTGCATTGCATCTGATTGCTGATTTTGACCTTTCTTCGGGGATACTGCTTCAAGGGCCTTTCTCGCTGTCTCCCATATTGGGTTATCAAACACTGTAGGATTTTCCATTTCATTCATTTCCCGATTCTACAAAATAGAAAATTTCACTTGAATGAATTCTTATAAAATAGATAATAGTATGCAATATACAACAAGAGCACGGCTAGTGCCTTTTTTATTATGATGATAATTTAGAACATGGACCTTGCCAACTGATGACTTGATGAAGTATCTCATAATAATTTGTATACTTAATTGTGCCCTATGTTGAAGAAAATTGGCAGAAACATTCAATGCATTTTGATTTTTAAAAATATCCAACAGGTTTCATTCCTATTGGGCATCTGAGACTTCTACTTAATCAGAAGAAGGACAAAAAACAATGTAGGGCACAAGACGGTATGTGCAAATGAATTTTTATAGTTTCTCTGAAATTCCTGACAACTTCATCGTCGGATACCCACGGCCAAACCATTATCATTCATCAGCCGTGGGATTTTTTGCCGATATTCAGTCGATTAGAGGTGTGTCAAAGGCAGCTATTTCATTGGCTGCCTCACGATTTCATGAGGCGATTAAAACCAATCAAAACGCTCGTTCTGTACGACGCTCGGTATTACAGACAATATTGCGACAACCATAGACGACGTAAAAAGTTTAACATCGAAAAATTAAACGATTTCCAGCAAGAAAGTATAGATAATTTACTTTTACAGCGTGATTTTTCCTTTATGATTGATATCTGCTTGCAGAAGAACTAATTTGGCGATAGTTTTTGCCAATGATTTTAGCAAGACACGTGCAACAGTTTTTAACCGTGGGCGCTGCCATTTTTTTTTTCTTATTGTTTTTTACCTCCGCTATTGAAGAATATAGATTTGTTAAACGCGATGTCATTGGTAGATATTTTACGCACCTGTTGCTGTATATCGACGCAAATCGATTCATTTTACCCATGGTTGATTGCATGTTATGTGACATGTTTATCAATCGTGGGTATCCGACGATGGACAACTTTTCACAAAGCATTCTGATTCTCAGGACCAAGTGCTGTTAAAGCACATCTACTTCCTGAATGTAGGACAAAACCCCACCAGTTAAAACCCCACCACTCAAAATTTTATAGAGTGGACAAAACCCCACCACTACATTTCATAGAGTGGACAAAACCCCACCACTAAATTTTACAGAGTGGACAAAACCCCACCACTTCAGTTTTATAGAGTGGACAAAACTTTCTTGTAAACATGTTAAAAAACAAACAATTGTGCATCAGCAGAAACTCAAAATAATGTGTGAACAACTCATCAATAAGGAGTTACAGTTTGTAACACCTTTTTGCAATCAAAACATCAATAAATAATCTGTTTTGTTCTTCAGGAATTTGGATTAAGTTTTTTTTGTACAGTTTGTAACACCTTTTTTGCATATTGCACATGCAAGATGTACATGCATTGTTAATAAAATTGTTCATTCTTATATTACACAAATGTTATATTGAAATTAAAAAATAAAATGTGAAAAAAATGTGTGTATTATATATATTATACTTCATCAAATCTTGCCCAATAAGTGGTGGGGTTTTGTCCACTCTGTGAAATTTAGTGGTGGGGTTTTGTCCACTCTATAAAATTTAGTGGTGGGGTTTTGTCCACTCTATAAAATTTTGAGTGGTGGGGTTTTAACTGGTGGGGTTTTGTCCGTCTTCCCTACTTCCTATGTCATGTGACTAAATACATGATGTGTAAGCTTGCAATACAGTGATCAGAAAGTAATAGGTGCTGAAAATTACAACAACCCATACATAATGAATTGAATAGGCTTGTAACACAGTTATAATACCCTCATTCCGTTTTACCAGAGTGAAAAATTATGTTGAAAAACTGGCTTGGCTGCCAAGCTAATGCCTTTAAATGGAAATCGTATATTTATTCATAATTTTCAATAATAATCCATGACGATACCGGGACAATATCAATAGACTAGATCAGAGTGTGAGAGGGAGTATATGACTTGTACTATTTCATTATAATTTTCTGCTTTTTATGTTGGAAACGACATGTGAACGAAGCGAAATAATTTATCAGAAATATTGTGTCTAAATCCAGGGCTACAGTGAAATATTGCAACTAATTATTACGGAATATTGTTACAGAAATAACAAATTTAAGCATTCCACTGTACCTGTAAGTCGGAGAGAACCATAAGCAGCGTTTATTTTGTCGTTTTGCGCGTTAAATAATTCTTTAATCAAATAAAAATGGCTGCGTAAAATATTTCTGCCACTCGGAACACCTTGCCGATTATCTCAATCACAAATTTCCGGTAATTTCCGTGAAGGATCGGCAAGTAAATTTACGCATTCACCATTATTACCGAAAAGAACCGAAAAGAACATCTCGCAGGAAGTTTACCATTTGAAAATGTTAACATTCCACCACCCATGTTCACTCATTTTACAATTAAAGTACATGCATTGAAAATTTGAAATTGTATTTTGAAAAAAAAATAAAAAAAAAAAAAAAAAAAAAAAATAAATAAATAAATAAATAAACTTCTAAGTCCCAGGTACAATCTGTAATATCAGCGAAGTTTACCATTTGGAAATGTTAACATTTTTAGTTGTGAAACCACCACCCCTGTTCACTCATTTTACAATTTAAGTACATGCATAGTCATACAAATTTGCAAATTTGAAATTGTATTTTGAAAAAAAAAAAATAAATAAATAAATAAAATAAATAAAAAAAATAAATAAATAATTATTTATAAATAAATAAATGAAATAAATAAATAAATAAATAAATAAATAAATAAATAAATAAATAAATAAATAAATAAATAAATAAATAAATAAATAAATAAATAAATAAATAAATAAATAAATAAATAAATAAATAAATAAAATGCAAACTCTGTATCCTCACTGAAATTGAATACCCCTCAGAAATGAGTTTCTTAACCTAAGATACTGTACTGTATTTACAAGTTCAATATGTGGCATATGGCATTGATTATATAAAAAAAAATTAAATTGTCATTAAAAAGAAACGTTGTGTGGTTCCCAATTTGGCATGTTTCAGTTTTAATAAAAAAATGTTGCATGTGAACATAAAGCATATAGATTTTATTATTTAATGTACACGATATGGCTTTAGTTGTACAAAAATTGCAATATCAACATTTTAGCATATTTTCTGTGATGCATTGCATCAATGAATTATCTTTATCTTTTTCGTCGTCGGATATTCACGGCCGGACCATATGACATGTTAATCAACGATGAATGTTTTATAAGAAAAAAAGCAATTTGATTGATAGAATGGCTTGATTGGAGCATATTTGTCATTCTACCAGCGGAATTAAGGTGGCGTGCAATATGAATGAAAATTAATTGTTTAGTTTGGTTATATTTTCTTGGTTTTATTGAAAATATAACCATAACATTGAAATAAACATTTTAAAAGATAATTTATTCACTTAGCACTATATACTTGCCTAGAATTTTCAATTTAGATAAAAGAGAATTAAAATAGAAAACCCTGAATTAGACACGGTAATAACACTTGATGATGCGATGACACGTTTGCGTTTGTACGAAGGGGAATCATGAGATGAAAGAATGATGAAATAACGACATGACAGCCAATTGTTAGTATGCATGTTTGGCTTTCCAAAAAAAAAAAAAAAAAAATTTTTTTTAGAAACTGTGTTTACCTGTTTCAGCTTTGTTTCGGTCGATATGGCTCTACAACTAAACACATGGCCAAAATGTGAAAAAGCCACCGTTTAGTAATGGTGTTTGTCCAAAACTGTCTATAAATAACACAGTTATCGCACATTTAAGAAATTTAATTATTTGACCTTCAAGGTCATTGCCGTTTCAAAGTCAAAATACCGAATTATTCAAAATGTCTTTTTTGTTATTAAGTGATGTTGCCTTGTCCATGAATAAATCAATTAAATCCGTCTATTACAAAGTTATAGCCAATTCTAGCAAAATCTTCAAGGTCAATGTCATTTAAAAGTGTTGGTTAGATCCAGCTTGATCGCCTTGGAGGTGTTTTTTAAATACTTTATCATTAACAATGTTAATCTAATAGCAAACTTGAAGCAAAATACAATAAATCACTGTTATCCTGTGTACATACCACATAAATAATCAGGAAGCCTAACAATGTGATGAATAATTAGAGGATATACGCATGCATTTCAGTTCCCATCAGAATTTGTTGAAATCCAGTTAACAGTTGTCGGGAAATAGTGCGGATACTAATGTAACTGATTAATCGGGTATTAGTTGAATGATCCGAACGGGAAACGAAAATAGTCTGAATATCTCCTTATGCATGGTATTGAATGTCCCACAGAGGTTCATTTGATTGATTTGCCTCAGAAGTTCGAGATGGGATGTTACGAAATGATAGGAAAAATGAAAATCAGGTATTGCACCCTGTTATAGTGAGTATTAATGAAAGTAATTGGAGATTAATTGTAAACCAGATCGAGCAATCAGTGATCACATGTGTCGCCTGATGATAGCCAATTAAGCAGTTGTATTTAAGGGTGATTGACCAGTTTGTTCCCTATATGTCACCGATACTTTGTAGCATGTTGTAGCTACAGTGTAGAAGGCGACACAAAATCATCAACAGACAAAGACGACGGAGCCTTGATCCCAGCTACTCTGTATCATTTTTTGTCCATTGATTTTTGCTTTGATAATACTTAGCTAGCTAGTTTCATTTTATCCAGCATCTTTGCTTTATAATTATTGCGTTTCACATGAGTTTAAAGTGTGTTCATAAGAGGCGACTAAATAGGCTCCAATTACTGGAGTTTCTCCATCTCTTAGCTCGAGCAAGTGAGGTGGTTTTGACCCCTGGTGTTGCTTTTAAGTTTTTAACACCCGAGGTTAGCCAATATCATCTTTCTACGCCATTTCATTAAAATTGTGATGGTGGGACGTAAAAACAAACAAAATTAGTATTTATTCATTTTACACTTAATATAATAAACAATCAACATTCTTTCTATAGTCTGTTTTACAGCTGCAACGTTTATTAATCAAATAACAATACTTTTCATCAAGCAAACATTAATACTACATAGAGTAACTTTCAAAGAAACACACAACAACGTGAATAACTCCTGTCATACAATACAAATCTTTGCTTTGCAATATTACGTTATCATTCTTTCTTAAAAAGATTAAGGCAGCGGAATGAACAATAACAACATCATAATATTTATTCTATCTCACTTCTGGATCTGATATGGACATTTTAGGGTCACATGTAAATGAAATGGTTATAGCGTATCTCACTCCAGTCTCAAGCTTTTCTACATAATGAATATTTTCAGACCCGGATGTGAAAAATGATACACGACCTGAAAATAAAAGATATTTAAAACAGGTTTAAAGAATGTTTAAATTTGTGAAATTTCTTAAAATAAAAGACATTGAATGAAAGAAACCATTCAGTATGTGAGTAGTAATTACAGTTAGTATTTTCAAAGTTTTAGCACTTTGTATTTCAAATCACAGATGTCATCGTACATCACAGAAAAAAATACTCATAGAGTTACCTTTTCAAAAAAGTACTTACTGTACTACATATTATCATTTAAATTAAAAAAAATTAACTTAGTCCAACTATATATCTAAACTTGTTGAAAAGGAAGAATAATATAAAAACCTAATCTTGGTTCAATTGCTGTTTCTTTCTCCCCATCAACAAATATAAAGCGGCCGCCAGTAAAATCTGCACCGTATGTGGTTAGATATAATAATGATGTGTAATGAAATGATCCATATGTGATCTGAAAGGCGTACAATAAATACTTTAATAATGATAAATTACATGTACATGAAATGTCAATTATTTTTATGAAATATTTTAATAATTTTTTTTAAAAACAAAACAAACAACAACTGTAATGTTTGGTACTTTGTATGATCAATAGTCCACAATAATCCAATGACATGAAAGTCATGATATAAACAACTAACACGAAGTGTGTCTTGACTGATTAATTTACTAATTCCAAATTTAATGCGCCGGAGCTGCATTAATTTAGGCGGGAATACATGTTACAGAGAATCATGGGAAGTATAGACTCGCTATGGTGATGAATTATAAGTACATAATTCCACAACAACAACAAAAACAAGTACATGTAACAAGAAATCTTTATTTTACGAAATAATTACATTTGTACTACATATATGAAAAAAAACCCACAAAGGGCCATCATGATTCTGCCAAAAATGATTAAATAACATGAGGGCAACAATATACGTCAGAGCAAAAATACCCCAGGGAATGAAGAAGAAATTGTTTACACCCAGCCGCCCGCCGTTGATATTGTATTTCATTAATCTAATAACCAAAGTGTTCTTATTGTAAAATTTGGCAAATATAACACGAAAACATGACGAATGAGACCGACACCTCATTTTCATCTACAAAGAATATTTCTATACAGTTTGAATATATAAGGATCATACAGACTTCAATAAATACAGTCACTTGTTCATACCTTATCTATATGTTTGTGCCAGTACTCGTCGTGTGCTGTTTTTGCTTCAGTGGTATTCATACGAGAGAAAAACGTGGGCTTTGTCAAATAAACACTAGATTTCGATATTCCAAAATACTCCGATATTGCTTGATGTATTTTGTTCTTCACTCGTCTAAAAATATACAAGAAAAAATGTTAATAAAGAAAAACTAAATTTGGAACCCGCATCTACTAAAATGAGTTACATAAATTATTCATTCATTCAAAATATTATTCGACAATTGGGGAGTAATGTGCAAGATAAATTGAATGTATGCTTCATCAACCAATGCTCAAGTTAAAATTTTCATATCCCGTTATTAATAACAAGAGCGATCAGTGATCACATGTGTCGCCTCATGATGGCCAATTTCATGTTGGGACAAGTTTTGTGACAGACGGACAGACAGACGGACAGTGCACTACTAGACTTCGTACTGATCATTCCTGTAAAGTTTGGTGGAGTAGTCCGGACAAGCTTTTGTGAATCTGGCAACACACAGAAAAAAAACACCTTTTTATCAAAGGGCCATTACTCGGCCAAAAATCATTCAACAGGAAAACCCGTGCAATATGCGCAAGGACTTGAGCTACAGATCAATCCTGTAAAGTTTCATTGAAATTACATTAGTGGTATAAGAGAAGTAGTCCGGACAAACTTTAAAAATAAAAATTATAAAAGGGCCATAACTCTGACAAAAATCATTGATACGGAAAATGCTGACAATATGCACAACTAGACTTGGTACTGATCATTCCTGTAAAGTTTGGCTGAAATTGCACCAGTAGTTTATGAGGAGTAGTCCGGACAAGTTTTGTGACGGACGGACAGACGGACAGACAGACTACGGAGAAGTGATCCCTATATGTCGTAGAGGCGACACAAAAATTATACATTTAAATATCTAATTGTCATCTAGTAAGATTTGTTTTTAGTTTTATCTATATCTATAAAAGACAGACCTATACATAGCAAAATCTTCTTCTTTGAAACCATCTCCATCCGGTAAGATCCTATAAAAAGTAACAATTCAGTTGAATATGGAATATTGTTTTTTGATTGATTTTGTTTTGGTTTTGCGTCGCAACTTTTCCAGCGAAGATCTCAGGGCACTTGAGTAGAACCACCGACGTTCTGGAAGATAGATGGATAGCTTTCTCACATTATGAAAGAATCCGAAGACGCTTGCGCCGGTCCAGCCTACAGCGGTAAGTGAATACAATGTACTGTGAAAGGGGATTTATTTACGAGTCGAAAAAGTACATCAATTTAAATATGCACTGCATACATTCTACATGTAAAAGGCGGTAAGTTAATTTTCTTTAAATATCAACTGAATATCTTACTTGTATATATTGACGAATTTTTCACCCATAGATAAAGCACCTGAATGTAAGTCTAGAATTGATGCCTGTAAACAAATCACCAACATATAATTATAAATCTCATATTACACTATAGAACTAAAGCAGTCATATGCCACAGCAATGGCACTCACAGAACATTTCTGGGATGCTAGATCTAGGTGAAAATTACAATTACATCAGCTCATTTTGATTTTATTTTATTTAACAGTGCAAATTATTTTTACTTTGAGACATAGGAACTATTTATAAAAGGAACGATGCATCCTATTTCTGGAAAGAACGTTTTTCATTGCTGATAAAATATTAACTTTCTGCTGCATATATTTTGCAGGTATCAAAACAGGTATTTAAAGTAGCAAGCGCTCAATTTTTTTTAACCATTGCATACCAAAACATAGCAAAAAAACCCTTCCACATGAATTCTATGCTAAAAAATTTAGTTAGTCACTAAACACAAATTTTTGAAATAAAAATATAGATGCAAAAAGAACATTATTAATTTAATTAGTTACGTACCCCACCAGTAGATCCACCGTATGACAAGCCCTTTTTAGCAAGACTGAAATTAGTAAACATTGCTAGATTAATGGAAGAAAAGACAATTTGCGATGCGTTTGCTAGCATAATCTACTATATAAACTAATGTGATGAAGATACAAATAAATCGTTTACGAAAAAAAACTTTGAATTTTAACAGCTCCAAACCACAAAAGCAAAATAAACAAGGTCGTATCGACTTAGTTTAATGAATTATAATTTATATGTAAGTATTCTCTTGCCAGACTAAACATAAAACATAACTAATATTGATTAGGAAATCGGTATAAAAACTGCACAATCATATTTTTTTTAATATAAAAAAAATCAAATAGTCCTGTCACAATAATATGTAGAAACCATAAACATGTACATGTACATTTGTATACCTTAACAAATACAGTGCCTCTTCTTCAGTCACTAAGTTATCCATGACAACACGTGCACATTTTTTTGGTTTGCATTCTACAAAATTATAATTGACTATGATTTAACTACTATTTAACAAGATATTTACACGATCGTCGTCCGACATACTGACATACTTTCTATAAGAACTTTGCAAAAGGGCGGGCTAGACAGGCATGTCAATGTTTTTACGGACGTACTCACAAAATGGTACTTATGTGACTTTTCCTTTGATCTTTTTTGCCATTTTTTAGTTACACAAGGCTTAAAAAAGACACACAAATAAAAACGGAATGAATAGGATCAAAGAGAATATACTGTTTCCCATTGTTCTCTAAGTCACACAAGTACCTCTGGGTTCGTACGTCCCTTTTCATTAAATACTCGTGACGTATATAGTTTTATAGACACGGCTGCTACCAATTTGTTAAGAAGAAATCAATTTTTTTTCTCATAAATAAAAGAAATTTGCTGTATTATAAAAACGTCATGATGATTCCTGACAGGTTATATGGCCGTATATAAACGGTTGTTTCATTTTGCAATATTCTCGTCTGGCGGCTCGGATTATATATACAAACAACCGTTTATATAGGGCCATATAACCTGTCGAAAATCTAATAATGTACCTGTTTCTCTACCTGTTCATTTCCGTTTTACAGATAAATGCAGGCATCTGGCACACGGTAAGCCTATAATAAGGATACATGTAGGTGTTTGGCTAAAACACAAGAATTAAATTTGATTTTCATTCATTAATATTACAAGTTATCTTAGTAAACATCGGCCATTCCAATTCTACAGTGACGTAATTATTTACCTTCAAAAGTTTCCTTTTTGTAATCACCGGAGCAGTTAACAGAATATGTAAGTTGACTGCTTAGTTGAGCTGCTGGTGCAAATGTTGAAATTTTACTACTGGGTTGACTGAGAAATGTCAAGTATATACCCAAACATATTCCAATGACACTAAGAACTGCTAGAATATAACCACGTGACGTCTTGCCATCTTCTTCCCTTCTAAAAAAACACAAATTACATGTACATTGCATATATATTCTGATACTGGCTGTACATGATACATGCAAGATTCATAATTAATTGTTTTCTTGATTTAACTAAAACATATTAACCATTTTACCGTTGCATACAAGGCTTAAACACCTCTGCGGATGTTTCTAAATTCAAGATTTTACCATTTCATGTTAAATCGGTGCTAGGGGGTATGGACGGTAGCTTGCGCTCTTCAGTGCCACCAATGAACAGGCTCAATCAAACCTAGCCTGCAACATTTTCAATTTTGCCGTTCGAGGCTTCTTTAGGGATTCTTATTCACACTATTTAATGCAGATAAACTTCTGGCCTAAAATAAGAGAAATGCCGACATACTCGCTTTAGCTACCGGCTTAAAAACTTCGTACCCAATGCAATTCGTACCAATCATTACTGTGTTAGTAAAAGTTTATATTCAGATGTTTGCTTCATACATGCAAAACGATTACATGTTATGGGTTTCAAAATAGAATTTTCATTACACATGCATTTGACTTAACTTAATGGTAAAGAATAATTTGAATTTAACATTTTAATTAAAGAGTTTAAATCGTAACTTTTTGAGTATCGACATTCATTTACATTACAAACCTTTTCGTTTTTCCTTTCTGTGAAACTTTGTTGCTGCCAGTGCCTCTAGATTTCCTTTCCCGTACCGGTTGTTTCATTTTAAAGCATGTATCTTATAGTGATCATTATATAAACAGATCTGAAAAGCTAAAAAGAAAAATACACGTGAAACGAATGTTTACATTCTAGGCGGAAGTTCACGCTTTTCCACGTTACGTAGAGCGCTGTGGTGAATTCCGATGCACTCTCGGTAGTAATCGGTAATACTCGGGGGTTCTCGGAATTCTTTTAAAGAGGCTTTCTCAAATGCATGATTTGTACTTTTCGCTTGAAACACGCAAGAATTTCAATTCAGTTGACGAAACGGTTAATTTATATTTGGATTTTGAAATAAAGAATTATTCTTTGCTATTTCTATATTCGACACGATATGCCATGTTATGATTCGATATTAGGTATCTAGGTGTATATAAATCTAGAATTTTAATGGAACACGAAAATATTTTACTCAGCTTAGGCCTACTTTCAAATACGTTCCCACTACTGTGAGACAAATAAGTAATAATTTTCAGCATATTGTTTGATTTGAAACAATCTGATAAAAACATTTTATTCACAAAGCAAAATAGTTTGATGATCGTAACCCCAAATACATATGTACAATTTTATAATTATACGTCATAGGTCCTATATAGGCCTGCCTACATGTATGTTTATTAAGGATTTCAAATCTACAACATGCTGAGAAGTTATGTTTCTTGGACTATTAGAATCAAAAGCCTCTCAAAAGATTATATTAACCGGTGAATGGCGCTATCTAAACTTCTTAGTAAACGAGTCTTGGAGAAACAAATACATTTTTTCTGACAAAGCGTCTTGCGCTAAAATAAAGTGCATGCTCTAAAGAACTGAAGTGGTCAGATTTCACAGTTATTGATGTTGGCCGGTCGCCCACATTCCACGCTACATCAGTATTTCTGAATAATATACTAGTCTTGACCTTTTCCGTCCTCGTGCACATCTTTATATCCCATTAACTGACCTCTTTCGCCTTTCTCATCATTTCTTTACATTATTACCGTAGCAATTTACTTAATACGCTCATTTTGTATGCGGTCATATTGTGCTATGGGTCTCTCGCTGGCAATTTTGTTTATTAATTCAGTCTGTTAAAGCCATGTATTTCCTGTAGATTTTACCAGACAGTGATACCATTTGATAGCAAACGACGAGAGATTTGCGTTAAACGATTTCTGGGACTTGAATGTACAGCTTGTTCAGATTACTTTTAGGATATATATTGGAAATACGACAGACACGAGTAAGTTTTGGCTTTATTTGATCGATATTTTTTGTGTCAGGCTGATCTCTTTGGGTATATTTAGTAACAGTCTGCGAGATTGCCCAAAAAGAAAAAAACTTCATTAATATTCAATTTTTGTAATATAAGTCTATTTTTATAAGAATTGTGAATATACAATTGAAGAAATCATTGCCATGCATTATCGGGACGCAAGCTGCATGCAGGGTATGCATTGAAAAAAAAGAGATGTACTTAGATAATATGTTCAATTTATGTTGTTTATTATAACTGTCCCCTGATACAAAAATCGAGGACACTCGAGGGCATGTGGGTAAGAAGTACAAACGTATAGTTATTATTCATTGATCATAAATTAACATGGCATCCTGCTGAGATAAAATTTGAATCCCCCCCATCACACATTTTGTTTAATATTTCACTCAGTGCAAATTGAGTTTTCTCGTTCAAGAATCATATTGTTTGAAATTGAACTTTTATATCTAGAAATGTGAATAAACCTCTTTGACTTTGGGTCCTTGATTTAGAACAGCCAAATCGTTTATGCAAATGGGTGTGCTCCGCTTTGAATTTGGAACTGCATACATTTAAAATTTTAAGGGATTTCAAGATCAAAATGCTAACACCCTGCCACTAGAACTCAGATAAGAGTAGAAATTTAAAATCACAGCAGACGAGATAATTAAAATCACAGCAGAGGACAGCAGGCACTTATAACGTACGGTTTTAGAAGTTTCCGGATTTCAGAAGTTCCGGAATTCGGAAGTTACACTGTATTGTGCTTTTTATGCTAAGAGGATTATTATAGCATTTAATTTTCAGAAACAATGTCTGTAACGTTTGTATTGATCACTTCCTGATTACGAGAACTGTCAAATGTCACCATTTTATCACACATGCGGTTCTCTTACAGAGTAAAATCGAACAAGTGTTGTGCTTATTCTCATCAGGTATTACCATGATTCAAACAGAAACATTATATCCCTAATCATTATCAATGAAGCTGTGACCAGGAGACACAATTTCTCGTTGACCTCTTTCACAATTATTTCTAACTAAAGGCATTTCAACAGCATAACAGATACCAGTGATACTCATTAACTTGATCCATCTGAAAACCATATCACTGCCCTGGCAATAACGTAGAACTATTTTGTATCCGTGACTGTACGTACCTGGCATCGGCATCCTCATTTCTGCCACAAATTCGATCCGTTTTAAAAGTTCTGGTTTTTCTACGGTTCTACATTTGTCATCAATATTGTCGTCAAAAATGTTATACATGATGTCGTTTTAATCATCGTTATATCATCTCTTCATCACCCTGATCACACCATCGTATCATATCCTCACAACATCATCATAATTATCATATCCTCACCACACTGTCATATCATACCCTCATCACACCATCATATATCATATCCTCACCACACCATCATATTCCCTCATCACGCCATCATACCACATCCTGATCACACCATCATATCATACTGTTGTCACACCATCATACCACACCATAATACCATACCCTCATCACACAATCATACCACACCCTCATCACACCATCATATCACACCCTTATCACCCCATAATATCATATCCTCACCACACCATCATATCATACCCTCACCACACCATAATATCACACACTCATCACACCATGATATCATATCCTCACCACACCATCAAATCATATTGTTGTCACACCATCATACCACACCCTTATCACACCATCATATCACACCCTTATCACACCATAATATGATATACTCACCACACCACATCATCATATCATATCCTCACCACACCATCATATCATACACTCATCACACTGTCATATTACACCATCGTCACACTATCATATCAAACCCTCATCACACCATCATACAATATCCTCACCACAGCATCATATCATATCCTCACCACACCATCATATCACACCCTCATCACACCATAATATCATACCCTCATCACACAATCATACCACACCCTCATCACACCACAATACCACACCCTCATCACACCATAATATCATATCCTCACCACACCATAATAGCACACGCTTATCACACCATAATATCATACCCCCACCACACCTTAATTCCACACCCTCATCACACCATAATATCATACCCTCATCACACCATAATATCTCACCCTTATCACACCATCATATCATATCCTCACCTCACCATCATACCACACCCTCATCACACCATAATATCATACCCTCATCACACCATCATATCACACCCTCATCACACTGTCATATCACACCCTCATCACACCATCATATCATATCCTCACAACAGCATCATATCATATCCTCACCACACCATAATATCACACCCTCATCACACCATAATATCATACCCTCATCACACTATCATACCACACCTTTATCACACCATAATTTCATACCCTCATCACACCATCATATCACACCATCATATCATACCCTCATCACACCTTCATACCATATCCTCATCACACCATAATATCATACCCTCATCACACCATCATATCACACCCTCATCATACTGTCATATCACACCCTCATCACACCATAATATCATATCCTCACAACAGCATCATATCATATCCTCACCACACCATAATATCACACCCTCATCACACCATAATATCATACCCTCATCACCCTCATATGACACTCTTATCGCACCATAATATAATATCCTCACAACAGCATCATGTCATATCCTCACCACACCATAATATCACACCCTCATCACACCATAATATCACACCATCACCATCATATCCTCATCCCACCATCATACCACACCTTCATCACACAATAATATCATATCCTCACCACACCATAATATCACACCCACACACCTTCATCACACAATAATATCATATCCTCACCACACCATAATATCACACCCACACCACACCATAATATCACACCATCACCATCATATCTCTCATCACACCATCATCACGTCCTCCAGTAAGTTCTGTTTGTCACAGTCCTTACATTCATCATTTATACCAATGCAACTTATAATCCTATCTACCATTACCACCATCAGAATAATCATTTCCCTTCTGTCATTTATAGCATCATTATCTTAGTTATTATATTTGATATCAGCGATGCAAATGTCCAGATCCTCGTTGATGTCATTACTGGTATTGTGTATCTTTAGTCACTATACTTTATCGTACTATCTGGTTTAGTTATGCTTATCGCAACCCTGTCACCACTGTCATCATGATTTTCTTTATCATCATCATCGTCGTTGTCACCATCATCATCATCATCGTCGTCATCATCATCGCCATCAGGACAAGGCAGTGACTTTGACGAAGACGACGAGTGCAATACCCAGTGTTTCCGTATTAGCTGGAAATCAGATAATTAACAAATGAACCGCGTCATGACAAAACCAACGTTATGTGTTTGCGACCAGCATGGATCCAGACTATCAGTTTCTCTACTTGTAATAGGGTTTGTAAGCGGACAGCATGGATCCTGATCAGACTGTGCGGATGCGCAGGCTGGTCTGGATCCATGCTGGTCGCAAACCCATTATGTTGGATTTGTCATGACGCGGCTCAAATGCATATGACTACAATTATCGCTGTCCATGGAATAATTTACATCACAATCATCACACTGTTACTCCTTCATTATTCATAATAAGCACGTAAAAAATGGACTTTGGGTAAATATTTCCATGCCACCGAGCCATTTATATATGAATTGGTTAATAACCAGCCACTCACGGTTTACATTTTACCATAGTAACGACATTTCATTTTTTTTCTTTTTCAGATTTTAGTGGTTATTAGACGAGTTGAGTTTAACAATGGCAGATATCCAAATGATGGAGGAAAAATGGCGCATTGTCTTCAAACTTATTGATATTGATAAAAACGGACTAGTAACCGTTAAGGACCGCGACGACTGCAAAAACAACTTTAGTAATCTATCGCCACAAGATTGCGTTCAATTGTCCGCACATCTAGACCAGTTCTGGGACAACTTGATCTTCCATGGAGAGAGTCCAAATTGGAGTCAAGAGATCAACGAGGACGAGTTCGTTTCAAGGTTCAAGGACGTTTATCTAAAGGACAAGGCAATAGTACAGCAAAGAGTGGGTGACGCATTGAACAATTTACTTCATGCTGCTGACTTGAACAAAGATGGGGTATTCACATTTGAGAAGTTTTTCAAATTTCATGAGGCATTTAATTTAGGACATGACGTCGTCGTACGAACCACCTTTGATTTGGTCGGCCCTTCTTCTGATGACACTTGCACTTTTGGAATGGTATACGATTTCTATGTAGAACTCTTCATCGGTGAAGACAAAGAAAAGTTTGAATCTTTGAAAAATGCGTATCGTGCAATTGGCATGCTATAAAGGAAAACTATGAAATATGATGGAAATTTGTATAAAGTTACGGTTATTGTTGCAAAGGTCTTTTATATTTGAACATTTATACATGTATTAACTTTATTATTTAAAGTGTGATTTTGAGAATAAATTTTGTGTAATACTCGCTTTAAATAGTGTCATTTTTTTTAAACATTATATTCACGCGTTTGCGTGTGGTCAAGAATGTTCCCTCATTTTTGGTTGCTTTGGATACAAATTGGTCAGTTTTGTTTTTTCTTCTCAAAGAAACGAATAACAGACCATTATACGCTATAAATGATGAAGACTGTATAAGATCTATATTGTGATCTGTCATTATCTCTTTAATTCATAATTGATGAGGCACGTTCACCATTCCAGAGATTGTATTACAGTATCTATACTTGAAGTCGAAAAGACAATGGTAAAAGTAATTTACAATTATATATTAGAGAATTTGCCTAAAGTAATTTTCGAATCCTACAAGGCCAATTTATAATGTGGCGCAATGAAGACGCATGAAATCACACTAGAGAAAAATCAGTTTCTTTAAGATAGTGCTCTGCCATTCTTTTCTTTCCGCCGTCACTTCTATGTCAGCAACAGGTAGTTAGTTCACCAGTAGTCCAAAATGTTGACGTAACAGTTTATTAAGCGGTAATTTTCTCAAAGTAACGTCATATATACGTGACATAAGACAAGCATGAAAATAATAAACAACAACAATAACAACAACAAATCAAATAAAAAAATGTTGTTTTTATTTTTCTATATGAATACGTTGTAAACAAATTTTGTTTATTTGTTCACGTGTTATTACAAAATGTATGTTATAAAATAACAAAATAAAAGTTATGCTCTCTTCTGTATTTTTACTTACACCTTTCTATCAGTAACTTATATTATATAGTTCTATGACGGGCTCATTTTGTAATGTTTATTTTGTTTATGTTTATTTTGCAATGTTATTTTATAACAAGTTTATAAAAATATGACTGCTCTGGATAACCATTTATCTAAAGTATATTTCCACTATTTGTACTCAGAGTTATTTTGTCCGATCCCTATCTGAACACATCGGATGTTTGAAAAATCACCAGTTCTTTCTGAACGTTGAATTAAGCTGAAGCCCGTGCTCAATCAAACCAACATTTTCAATTTTGGCGTTTTGGAATTTATTTTTTATATATAGGGATTATGTTTTTCTCAATTTTAAGACATGTGTATGCAATATCACTTCGCGATTTTGTAGATGGACAATATTACTGTCTTTCCAAAAGGCCAATTTCATCCATATAATAATTTTTCTTAAGAACAACGTCGTTTGCTACTTTTTTTTAATTAAACGATTTTAGAATTTCTTCTTGTCTTAACTCACTAAATATACATGATGTTTCTTAAATGTTTTCCGTCATAAAGTATCATAAACATAGAGTCGTAAATTGTCGAATAATATCACCGTTATAAAAATGAATGAATACTCTTTGTTTTGTAGTACTATAAATTTGTCAGTTATTCATCAAGGTGTGAATAATTTCTTAATTAAGCAATATATCTAATTGTAAGTAATTCATCATTTTGCAAACAACTAGAGTAAAATTCACTGTGTTTATCACACCTAGGGGTATATAGTAATTGGTGATGAGCGCAGGCTGCATATGTTTAACTGAAGTTACAATTGTACGCTAGATTTCAGGGATAGTTTTGATTGTAAATTGAGTAGCCTCCCTTAGACCTTTGCGCGTGAGAAAATAGCTTACCTGTCCGTAGGTGGCGCCACTGAGGAAATTCCTAGGCTTAAAATAGATTAGGCCTGTGTACCTGAATGATTTCTAGGTCAGTTGAAACGTCAAACAATGCGTGGAGTGAAACAAACATATTTGTGGATTAATAAATGTACTTCGCCACTTTTCTAATTGTGAATTTTGTACTTGTCGGATAATCGAGGAGAAATTTACTGTGTCTATCGCCGACGGATTATTGTAAACCTACAGTATAGAAATTAGATATTTTACAACTGTTTAACAGGTGGGAGCGACAGAAAACATTTGAAATTCAACGATTTGTTTGTTTAAACGGGGGCGTTTTGATGATGTGACAAATTAGTTCGTTGTATGAACATTCATCCACATGTTTCAGTGTACATGACATGATCATCTACAGTATTTGTCAAAGCTAATTGATGTAGACCCAATTTAAAGCTCCATAAATTACTGTACATAAGTTATGGGAGGCAATACATCGACCCAAGTTGCAATGCTTGGATTAGATTCATCTGGAAAAACGACTTGTCTTTATAGACTAAAATTCAATCAGTATACATCTACAAACCCCACTGTTGGTTTTAATTGTGAAAAAATAAATGTGGATAATGGAAGTGCGAAAGGAAGTGTATTCACTATTTGGGATGTAGGGGGACAGGATAAAACCAGACCCCTTTGGAAATCTTACACAAGGAAAGCAGATGGAATTATATATGTTGTTGACAGTACAGACAAAGAGAGGCTTGAGGAAGCTAAAATTGAGTTAACAAAATTATTAAGATGTCCAGAAACTCTCGGATTACCAGTTGTTGTTCTTGCAAATAAAAATGATTTACCGGGTTCAATAGACAGTGCAGAAGTTGAGAAGCTGTTAGCTTTACATGAATTACCACCAAGTCATTTGTGGCATGTAGAATCAACATGTGCTATCACTGGGGAGGGGCTGGATGAAGCTGTTGAAAAGATGTGCGAGTTGATAATTAAAAAGAAGAAAGCGAAACGGAAAAGATGAACAGTTTAAAAAAAGTGCTTGGTTCTAGCTTAGGTTGTGCCCACACACTAACACCGCGGTAATTCAGAAATATTACCCCATCAATCCGTCCAAGGATATTATGGATTCTACAAAGACTGTGCCATTTTATGACTGAACAATGCAGGAAAGGTTCCAAGGATATCCAGTAAAAACCAAAAAGGGAGCATCCAAACATATACACATGTGTATTAAACATGAAATAGTGTGCAATTAAAAAATGCTGACTATTTCAAAGCAGCATGTTGGAACAAGAAGAGACGTGGAACCTACAGGGGAGCAGGAAGTGATTTTGTCAACATACGTACATTTACCTTCATTTTACTTACAAGTTTTTGTCTACATCGATCTGTTATATGTATCATAAAACCAGTTCTTTGTTTTTGATCAGAGAATAATAATTATTGAACATACATAGTTATAATATATAAAAAAAACAGTTAATTTCTTTTTATTTTGTGATAAATTCTATTCAAAGTTTCACCGATATTCTTGTGAAAATTTTGTTAAATTTTTTTGACATTCCTATGTATATGTGCTAGAAAACTTCTCAAAGTTATTTTCCTAAAATGTGATATTTTGTTACAATTTAATGATACTTCGCAAAGATCTAATAGAGTTCTAATTTTCTATTATGAAAATCCCCAGCCTATAATTTTTATCCTCTTGATGGGGCTATAAAATCTTGGCAGACCTGAACATTTGATAAGTGAAAGCTGATACCCCTGACAGACAGTCATATATTATTCACATACTTAAAAACTCTGGACTTGAAAACAGCTTATAACCATTTTCTTTATCGATTTGTTCTACATTCCTTCACAAATCTTTTAAACTTGAATTTTTTTCTTACCAAATATTTATAAGGTGTTCTACACAGATTTGCCTTGTCTGATTTTTTGTAAAAAAAAATTCTCATCTAACCCACCACAGACAAAGAGATTTTTTCCTCTTATTTTTTTAAAGTATAAGAAACTTCTTGTCCGATTTTCCCTGTTGGAAAGCAATTGTCTGGCATTGTAATTGGATGATGTGCAATATATTTATAGGGTTTTATTAGTGTGAATTACTACACATGCCTGTCATATAAATCAGTTATTGTGCCAGTGTCTTGTTTAATCATATATCACATTGTTACAACATTTTTCTCTAAAACATAAATATTCATTTTAGGCCTTCCATAGATTTTTATCATTGAAAATCACTTTCATTTGTTTTTACACATGACATAAAACTGAATGAGATTTTTTAAATTTAAAGGGTTTATAGTATCTTAGTATAACGAATTAAGTCACAGAAAGTACATTCACATGTACATCATACGATGTATGTGTATGACAACTTGTAAGTAACTTAAAAATATCCTAATATATTGGATATAAGGATTAACTTTCAGTTTACTGACAGCAACATTTGTACTGCCCATGTGACCAGTGCAAACTTAGATCAGCTGGGACTTTCATACTGTCAGATCATGGTCTGCACAGTTTGCTATTCACTGTATTCAGTTAGTACATATTTTGAAATTTTCCCTGAAAATAACGAGAGGTTATGTCTGGATTGAGAGATAGACAAACCCATTTAAGATATTTAGCGAGTTTAGGTGTATTTAAAATTTTAAATAAGCTCAATATATCTCAAAACTTTTAATGTCTGATTTCAACCTTACAGACTATGGCCTCCTTTTTTCTAGACTAGTTACGACTGACTTTCAAATATAAACTAGTTTATATATTCTCTCCAGTTTGAAATGTTAATTACGTATTTACCAAACATAAAACAGCTCGGTATTTATTGTATATTATATAGATAACAAACTGATTTTAAAATTAAGTATAACAACTATGTGTAAACAAATTCAGTACATTTAAATGTATTGTAAATTTACCTGAAGCTTGAATATTTTGATAATTCAGCTATGACCTATGAATTTATCGTTTTACAGCAGAATGTTGATCATAGCAATGATAGGTGTGAAAATAAACTTTAAGTTTTCATAAAGCTATAATATAATTTATGGCAAAGCTATAATAATTTCAGCTATCTATATGCTGTAGTACTCCTGAGATAAAAGCTTTAACGATTCTGACTCAGTATCTCTATCCCAAGTATACAATCTGTCACATAAAATCTGATATGTTTAATATGTGACTCATCATAGTATTTACCTGTTTACTCCATTTTATACAGAAATTTTAACATTTTTATATAAAATTGTGTTGCTTTTTTGATACTTTGAGGGAGGCTTTACTAAAATGTATTTGTGCATGTAATTTGTGCAAATGCAGTATATGAAATCCTGTTGAAGTTAGGTTAAAATAAAGTTATGGTGACTATATAAACTTGTCACTATGGTAACAAATGTCTATTTCAGACATAAATGTAAAAATGAAGAGATGCATTTACAACAGATGGGGATTTTTGATAGCATTTGACACTGTCTATTAAATGAACCATGGGAATGACATGCTAGCTCTTTTGTCACTGAATTTTGATAGGGAAGGATGAAAATAATACCATGAGCATCTATGAAAAATACATACACACAAAATAACTGGATAATTTAGCCTAAAATGTCCCTGCATAAAGATAATGCATTAATTCAGTTTGGCTGAGGAAAGTTTATATCATTAGCATTTTTATGCATCATCTCTGCTTTCATCACTGACTAGACATTCACTGTAGAATTTCTCATAGATTTTTTGTTAAATAACTTCTTTAAAATTATTTTACCATGAAAAATGACTCAATTTATACAAATTAAAAGGTATATGAGATGCAAGTCCGACTTTAAAACTTGGATGACCAACTTTCTAATCAAATTTCACCTCACAGGAAGGTAAAATAGACCCCACTATCTATATCAAATATCAAAACATGAAAATTTTAATAAGGAAATTTGTTATGGCCCAGTTTCATAAAACAAAAGAAATTAATTATTAGATACTAATTGCGGTTATTTCTGACAGGGTTCATAGTCGTTATGAGAGTTTATAGACATTTTTTTCAGTCTTGACACAAATTTTTGACATAACCTTACAAGTTTGTGCCAAACAGTTGTATTAAATTGTATTAACTTATATTTCATACCTTTGAAAAGAATACTTTGTTCAGTGTGCGTTAAATTTAATATCATGTTCTTTTACCCCCTGGTGTAAAGAATATTTGTTCAATGCGTTACATGAAACCATAAAATTGTTTGTTATTTGAAAAAGTATTACCAATTGATCAGCTATTTGGGAAGTTTCTTTTGAAAAAATAAGCTTTTCTTTTGGCAAGGTAGATAAAACACAGTTATCTTCTATCATTTTTTCACAAATTACAGTTTCAAACCAATACAACATACCAACGTTTTCTGTATAGATCTGTAATGGACTTAACAATATGCCTAATCATGTGAAAACTTGTTAGTTTTAAATATTTATTCGTTAATGCTCTAAAATTGTCTTTTCAAGTATCTTTAGTTTACGTGTTAACCAACTTGGTTTATTTTGTGAAACACACTTTTGTAAAGAGATTATTGAATATATATCAATACAAACTAAAGAGTGCCTGTAGTTAGTTTAAAAATGATAATACTTGAGAGATATTTGTAAAACAAATTTCATGTTATTGTAATTTTTGTTAATTCTATGATTGAGTGATGATTAAAGTTGTTATTGATAATAAGAATTGTTACTTTTTAAAAAGCTAGAAATTATGATAAGTTTAATGATATAGTAAAGAAATGGCGTTATTAAGCTCTAAATATATGTATAATGTATCATTTCTTTTTCAATGTTTGGAGAATTATATTTCATGTACGTAGTTCTTAAAATTTTTGGCAATATGCATCGTAAGAGTATAGTTTTAGAAAGATTTTGCATCAGATTATGGCAGGTTTTTATATAAATAATGTGGAAAAACCTGTAAATGCAGATTTGTTGATATTGCTATCACTATTTTCTAGGCGTTGTCACACATTGATTATGTACACATGGCATGGTAAAACATTATTAACTCTAGAAATATCTGCACAATCTGTTACATGCTTTTCCAGTCTTAAAACGATAATAGGTTTTAGTGTTGTTAATGTTTTTGTTGTTAACTTTAATTCTGAAAGTTAAATGTTTATTGAATTTTGAATTTAAACAATTGTGAAAAAATACCATGGTTTTACAAAAAAAAAAATCAAACAAAAAAACCCTTCTTTTTACAGATATGTTATCTTAAAAAGCAAACTTTTGTTCTACCAGATGTTTTTAAATCGTCAAGTGGCAAGGTGCAAATCTTGTAGCACACCAGTCCTGTCTGTAATATTTATTAAGTTAAGTGCACTGTGTTGTTTTTTCAAGAGAAAGGCATGTTATATTTATACAAACAGCTATAATACTAAACACTATATAATTTTCAAGGTTGAATGGTTTAAAACTTTACTGAAAAATCAAATCTTTTTCCATAAAATTAGTGGTGAAATAACAAACTTGATCATTTTATATATATATTTATCTAATGTTTACCTGTCACATAACCAGATTTGCTAATTTGATAATAACTGCATTACAAATGCATAATTTGTTATTCAATTGCACCCTAGGGGTCAATTCTGATGACTGTAAACATTTTGTATTAATTAACATGTGGTATAGATGAACCTTGCCAATCAGTACAAATTATCTAACAATATTTGACAGGTGTCTTGTGCCCTGCAGGACATTGGTGTGAGACACTCACCCCAGTCTATGTAAACAAAATAAGTGAAATTTCTTATTGACACTTAAGCTTTCATATAGATTGTGTTTTATGCATATTTCAATGGGTGTATTCATTCTTTAATTTATATATGACTAGTCTTTTTTTATCAATACAAAAATTTTATGTTAGTATCAGTTTAATAGCCTTTCACTTAAACAAATGTTTATCATACATGTAAAATTATTCTACACTGGCCATCTTAGGTAAATGTACTATGCGATTTTTTTTGTAATAAGAAAGCAATTTTAACCATGGAGTCTCTGAAAAACATACATAGTAAAACATATGTCATAATAATAATTATATAATATCATTTGAAAAATGTTACTAAACTCCTTAACATTAAGTTTAGTAATATAATTGTGGCTGTGCCATTGATATGAGATTAACCAGTCCACTCTGTTTATATATCTTACAAAATGTCCATTTTTGTTGACTGCTCATGTTTTGGTATAAACTACTGCCAGGGCAGGTTCAACATACAAATTCGATTCAGCAGGCTTTACGGTTTATTACAGTAGTAACATTTTGGTAAGCTTCATTAAAGTTAAAACAAATGTATCATTGCAGTATTTGTATCATTTCTGTTTTGTCTGCATGTTTCTTCATATATTTCATACATTAAAAGAAAATCACCTTGAAAAGTCTCTTTAAACAGTCATACTTTGTTGTTCATTTTGACATCCAAGAAGTTGTTATATCAAAATGCATTTTTTGATGATTATAAAGTTTATTTTTTACTCTTTGTTGTCCTGTGTATGTCCGCCCTCCCCCACTCTGCATCTAAGTGCTTCTGTTTTTGTATTTCCGTTTCTAATGCTTTAATATACTTGAAATCAGAGATTATAATTATTTTATGCAATTTGTTGTATTTTTCCCCCCTTTTTGTGATTTAATGTTATAGATGTTTGTTTTTGTGTTTATTTTTATCTCCTTTCTTGTCGATTTGTATTCCAAAAAACGTTTTATTTTTTGTAAATCAGGGACAGTTGATGTATATTTTGATTTATATGATATTAAAAATATGAAAAATAAATCTGCAGATTGTGTTTGATTGTTTATTTCTCTTGTTAAAGGTTGAATGATTTGTTAGCTGACTGGGCCTGCAATAATGCATAGTGGTCTTCACTCAGTAAAAAACTTGGAGGTTACTTTAAGACTAAGTTAATATTGTTTCTGCAACAAAATTTGAACAAGACAAATGAATGAAAATGCCAGCATTTGAACTATTTTGCCCTGACATCAAGTTAAAAAAAATAACTTTATAATTTTATGATAAATACATTGTACATGTATATATATGTATATATATTCACACACACATGTATATATATTATGCTTACAAAATGAAAGTAAGTGGAGAACAACAAATAATACCTGGTTATTGCAATGTTCATCTGTCACTAAGGTGAGTGGAGGGTAACAGATCACCTAGTATACTGATTTTAATTTTAAAGATTGATGCAACTCCAGAAAAGTTGCTTAAACTAAAAAAATAACCTTATTTCATTAGCTCATTTAATTACACTTCAAAACGACTGAACTTGTTGCTTTAATGCTTTATAGGTAAAACTTTTGACATAATCTTAGAAAATTTAGCATGAAAATCAACATTTTGCTAAGGAGTAACAAAAATCATTTTCAGTATCAACATGGAATTTGAACTTTGATCAGTTTCAATGAAAAACAGTTCTTCTTTCATGGAATTTTATACATGTAATTTGTTCTGGAATTAATGGCATACATTAAGTTTTTATGTACCAGTACATGCACATTTTAATGACTTTAAATAGACCACAGAGGTCTATATATACGGGTAATTGTATTTAATTTAGACCTAGTTAAAACTTAGTTTTATTTCAAGGTTTCACACTGTCAGCAAATCAAATGTAATCAGGGTTATTAAAAAATATAATGTTCCTGGTGTTATCAAATGATTTTTTTGTTCCGTTTAAATTTGAGGATATCAAAAATCCCATTATATTTTATACAAGCTGAGGTTAACTTAAAATGGATTTGCTTTCATAGATCAGCTGAGGCACTTAAAGTTAAAGCAAACTAAAACATGCAAAAGATAATTAAGAAATATTCCCAGAAGTATATTAAAAATTGTATTTTTGTGCTGATCTTTACCGTATTTTAGTGAAAAGCTTGCAATTTTGGATTGAAATAATTATTGTATTTTTACCTGACAATTAAAATGATGGGAAAATGAAGTACGCAGATTATCAGAAAATTTTTAACAAAATTAAATTAATGTGATATGATAAAGCAAATTTTGTTTAAGAGCAAAACTATATACTACATAGAAAAAAAAATATGTACAACATAGAAAAAAAAAAGAAAAAAAATATTCGATCTCGGCAGGACTCGAACCTGCAATCTCCTGATCCGTAGTCAGGCGCCTTATCCATTGGGCCACGAGACCCTTGACGTAGGAGGCAATAAATGTTTAATATATCCTTAGGTATAATCCTATGCGCTGCGCGGGAAATACAAATTGGCGCTATTCAATATAGCGCTAAAAGTTGTTTATTAGTTTACCATGAAGTTAACCGCTTTAAAAGATAAAATGATTTTTATTGAGTCTAGTTTGATTTTAAAAAATTAAGAGAGCTAGAGCGTTGGTATATGTGAACCATCGGGTATTTTGGACCGCACTTCATTATAACGTTTAGAAGTATAATTCCATTAAGTTATTCCACGGATTTATATTACATGTAATATAAATCCGTGGTTATTCAATTAGAAATAAAAAGCAACCGTCCTTTTGTCTGCTGGCTTCCACCCAGTGCCTGTACATTAAGTAAATGTTATTATTTTTTGCATGATGTGGAATTTAGGAGAATCATGCCACTGTTTTATAATAAGCTTAAGAAAAAATAGCCGATAGTTAAATTCATAAAACCTGTTTATGATATATTTTGCAGAAGTAAACTATAAATTTAGGATGAAAAAAATCCCCTGATCAACATGTGAGCATATTTTAGTTGTAAATACTACTTGATTCATCATAAAATGTGGTTCCAAAACTCCCGACAACATTTTATTGATGTAGGGTTTTTTGGGACACGTGAATATCAAATGTTTATTATGTTATTAGATATTATAGAAACGTATCATTAACTCAGTGAAGTTGTATTTGTATGTCAGATATGTTTAAAAAAAAAAGCAAAACAAAAAACATCCTAAAACAAATTTATAGAAAGGGATAAAACAAATTGACCCGGACTTAAAGCGGTAAAAACTGAAAAGGGAACCCGACTCCTTAGAGATTCCGACAGTTTATTGTGATGACAATAATCTTGCAGATATGGATACTTAGCATTACACTTTACATGCTTCTCCTGCAATATTCCTTTTCTTATTAAAGATGCTATATAATATGCATGTACCAGCACGTTTAAAGCATAGCACAATCTATGGTATCATAGTACAAAATAAAGACAAGGAAACCAGTAATTGCTGATTGACGTTTATTGCCCAAGAATAACGCTAATTAATGCACTTTTTTCATGCATTAACATCTGCAGAAGCCCTCAGACATTTTAAATCCCTCACTGTGCTGTCTCAGACTTTGACTGTGTCTTCATGCTTCTGAAGATGTAAATACATAAAGAAAGGGGCATTAACCCTCTTAAAGTACTTAATCGAAATGAACAGATAAATCAGACCATTTGACCTCACATACTCTATAGATCTATAAAGCATCATAAAATAGTATTATATTTGGTTTAGACTTGTTATTTAAAGAAAATTGAATGAAATTGAACTGTGCAAAATTAGATTTACTGCTCTATGTTTTGTTACAAATTTTTTACACTAAAATTAATTTATCCCAAAAAGCCCTTCTTTCTGTCCATAAATACCCGACGTGTCCCAAAACTAGCTCCTCATGCTCTTCTGTTTAACAAGGTATATTACGTTTGTTTTGTATATGCTTATGATAGTGGCCCATTATAGACGATAGTCATACAGAGCTTATCCAAAGTATCCAATGCCACTACAGAAATAAGCATATTTAAAATCACAGTAACAAATATGCCTTTGATGTCCCAATATACCCGACATCGCTCTATAGATTCTAGATTCTATAACGATTTTTTAGACAATTTCAAAATCAGATTTAGATTCTAACTCAAGACTAGATCTAGATTCTAGATCTAGAATCTAGATCTAAATAATCTAGAGCTGGATTCTGTCTGGGACTAATAGATTCTAATAATGTAATCTAAGTAATAATAGAAATCTAAGTGTATATGTCCCAATTTCTGTAGATCTATCTATTAGTTTACAGTAGAATGAACATGACTCTATTTTAAATGGGTCTTAGAACACCAGGGCTGGTCCCAGACCTAGATTCTATTTACTCTATTCTGCCTGGGATAAATTACATTGTACATTTGCAAAAGGGAAGCTTGTATGATTAGATCTAGGTTTCCTTAATTAGGTCGATCAAATTTATGTTAAAAATTAAAGGATGTTGATGCTCGTCCAATAGATCTACATTACTCCAAAAATCTTGAATGAAAGAGAGAAACAATTTTACGGTTCAACTTCTTAAACAGTCTGCTTATTATTGAGATAGATCTAGATAAAACTATTTTTTAAAGTATGGAAAAATAGAAAGCACAATATGAATAACTATAAAATTATGCAAAAGAGTGCTGTTGTCGATAGAAACTGCCTTTTGCCTAGATCTTGATTCTATAGTGTTATCAATCGATATAAGTTATGGCCAAAAATAAAGTATAAAAAAATGCAATTTAAGAGAGTTTTGATTCGTTGGCACAACATTTCTTCTCAATGAGATGTAGATCTTACAACCAATGAAGTTTAAGTTCCAAAATTGTGATCCATTTAATTACCTGACGGGCAGATAGTTATGAGGATAATAAGAGAGACCTTTCTGTGGTGACCTAAACAAACTGTTCTCTAACTTAGCTCAGAGTGCCGTTTTTAAAACTGATACATATGACTGTAAATTGTCTTAAAATGTGTTTTCCTTCCACCATAACCTAGAATCTTTTAACGCCCGCTTAGCTCAATATATTCAGGGACCACTGGTTCGATCTTATGGAGAGGGACACGTGATCTCGGACATCGACGTAGTCTAATGACCATTTTTAACTTACGGAGAAATTGGTAATTACTGGTAGGTTATTCAGGAAAGCCAGTTATATGGACCGACTGCGAGATAAACTAAAATGTGTTAAAATTGGCGTAAAAACGAACAATCAAACTTGATAATAAATTTCTTGAACATTTCAAACATGGGCATAACAAATGGATGACAGAAATTTGATAAATTCTACTAAAACTCATTCTGAAGGCACTGCTAACCGGGATTCAAAGTTCAAAGTACCTTCCCACTAAGCTAGCTTATCATCAGGATTTTCTCGTCGACATTGATCGATGGCATGTGATATTGCTTTAACAAATTTGTAATTCTAAGTATAAACAAGCAGATATTTATATACATGTACTATACGGTGCATTTTGATTCTAAATAAAGTATTTGTGTTGAAAAAATGTACATTAGCAATATTCAAACCCCCAATTAAGAACATCGTCACTAATACTTAAACGTATTTAACAATTCAAAAAAATAATGCACTAGCTCTATATTTGTTTAACTCTGCTTTTAGAGCACGCTACTTTTAAATGAGGACAGTTCATTTTCACTTCCTTTTTAACCCTCCTTTAGCATTTTTGTTACTATTGGTAGATTCTAACCAGATTTGTATACTGCCAAACCGTTACGTTTTTTCTGACATGTCTTACTAAAATACGTTCAGGTCAAGAGCTTGCTGCGAAGATACCTTCAATCTGGGACTAATAATCTTTCTGACCCAGCTTCTATCAAGCTGACTGTGGAACCCTGTACGGACCTTCATTTACAATGTCTAAATATTTCTGTATAAATGGATATAAAACACAATCTGACACCGCATTTAATTAAGCCGGTGTCTATAATATAATTATCTAATTGACACTTTCTAAATAAAAATGTCATTGTCATTTGAGGGGGTAACACGTTGA